ACACTGAAAAGTATCCGTCAATGGATTTTTATATTTTCCAATTCATAATGAGCTGGAATTTGTTTCGTTTAAAATGACCTTAGGTCGACCAAGACCTAAATGTTTATAAGGTAAAGTCCTGGGAAGAAAAGGTGGCCGTCGTGATGTTGACCACATCACCCACCGTGTGCCATACGCCTGAAGGCTTGGAAAAGGGTCCTTTACACACACACACACACACACACACACACACAATCACACACAAGTCAGATCCATAATAATGACTGCTTCTCTTTGATGGTTTTTCTCTTTCCTACGATAAATACTTTGTTTATGTGTCTGATATCATTACTCCTATCATTTACTATCAAGTCTCTGACATTTCCAGGATGTTCACATTTAATTGTATCACTTCGAGTTTTGTTTTGCCTTATTTTTCTGCTGTGTGCATAATCCTGACGTTCCATGTCCTAACGTTTTTACAATATTCGACGATGCTTTGCACACATTTACATGATGACAATCTGGAGTCACCCGATGCATATAACCCTCCCTACCGACAAGGCTGATCCTATGGGGCCAATATTGACAACGTTTATCTAAAGGTGTATAAGAGCATTGCTGTTCTTTACATCTTCAGGGAGCCAGTTTTTTTTTTTTTTTTTTTGACAGGGGAATCACAGCTATCACTTTAGATAGATCCTCTGCTTACCACCAAGGAACTTAAGACCATCTCCAATAACCATCTGTCAGGTGCTCTCAAGCCCAGTCCACCACCTGCTTCCATGGTTTCTGTAGTGAGATAAATCTAGTTCCAAAGCACTGATTCACATACGGCACTTTCCTATTTTCAGTCAGTGCTGGCTAGGGAAAGGGTGACTTTCAAGAATGCTGTAAGGAGAGCAACGTTCTGTAAAGAACTTGCTGATTGATGATGAAAGATGTGGTTGACTCAGCAGACTGGTTCTCAATTGCCTTGACCACATCTAGGTTGTTCTGCATCAGTTTACCACCAAGGTGATACTGAACCTGCTAATTTGTCTGGCTGTTAATTTGCCAACACACCAGCATGACCTGGAAAAATACCCACTGTTCTGCATCTTCAGTATGTGGTTTCTAGTGTGATAAAACTAGGAATGCAGTGTATAAACCCTGCTGGGATTTTTATATAAATTATACATGATGAAAGTATTCTGTGTCGGCGTCTGTGGCTTAGGCATTTTGAATGTGCTTCGTAATGCCAGGGTATCGGGTTCAATCCCAGCTGCGGACGATTTGGCAGCAAAACGTCTTGCATTGGTTTCAACAGGGGTACAGAGAGCTGACCGTTCAGAGGCAATGGCAAATTACTGAAAGTAAAGTTTGCCTAGAAAAACCACAACAGTCAAAAAATGCTGAGATTGGTTCTTCAAGGTCCTGTAAAGGATAATCAACTAAGTTTTATGTATTCTGTATCTGTGATTGTTGTCTGCCATGCTTTGGCATCCATGTTTAATTTCGTGAATACAAGGTTTTATCTATGGCTGTAATTTGTCTCATTGCTTTTTAAAATGTGTGTTGCGTCAGTATTATTGTTATTAAATTTTATAAAATATGTATGTCATGTCACATAAGCATTGAGTTAGATATTACCTAAATAATGTTTGCGAATGTTAAAGCTGAATCTGGTAGAACCTCTATAAATTGACCACCCAAGGGGTTGTTGCAAACTAGGCCACTTATGGAGGTGGTCAACAAAAAGAATGATGCCTATTGTACTGATATTATGCTTACTTGAACAACTTATTTTCAAGAATACAGTATCACATGAAAACACACATAACTATGACATTAAATCAACTTATCAGCATCTGTTTTATCATGGTTTAATCACTCTTTCTGGGGAAAAAAATCAGTCTTGTCCTTGTCTTATTCTTGTTTTAATAATGTGTAAAGCTCTTTGGTAGCGTGCATGTTCAATATATTTACAGTCAAACTTTAAATCTAGAAGATACTGTGCTGTCAGCCTCCTAATGGATGTTTGTAATAGTTACACTCTACTATTTCTGATGCATATTGCACACAAAAAACTTAACAAACCAGAATTAAGTAACCATCGAAAACGTAAACATAATGCATATATCAAGACATGTATACAAAAGTGATAACAAATATTCACATTCCTAAAAAAGAAAATAACAAGAGTGTTTGTTTAAAACGTTAATGTCAAAATATTTGTAACAATAAATGTTACTCAAAATTACTTATTTCAGTGACAGTCTGACAAAATATTTTTGATGGATTTTCCCATGTAATTTGAGTTGAGTTGAGCTGGGCATTCCCATGTGTGCTCCATCCTCATCTTCAGCAGCCAGCACAGAGTTCCAATACTGATGGTACCGGTCCCAATTTGGTTATATGTCCATCTTGCCTTTCCTCTGAGTGTAGTGAGCTGGCCAGACCCTCTGGTTACACCCATGTAATTTGATTTCATTGTACAATAAACACTGGAAATGATTTCCTTGAGTGTTATGATTGTTTCTTAGTACAAAAGAAAGGCTAACAGAGCAGCCACACACAAACCAGCAACTGTTAACACATAGATGGTGAAGAGAATTGTGAGAAGACGATTTTTGTCTGGGTACTTGTCGCTGTCCGTGCCAGCATCCTCTTGACTGGAGCTAAGTGGCATGCCTTGAAGAAATAAAATACAAATAATTAATAAATAAACACAAAAAGCTTCAATAGTAACAGTTTTTATCTTCTCCTCCTCCTTCTCTTGTTCTTCTACTTTTCTACTTTTTCACCTTTTCTTTTACCACTTTGAGGTACTGAGGGAAATAAAAGGTTCTGCTTAATGGCAGAAAAGTTTAATTTAAAAAAACTAAACATTCAAAAGGTATCTTGACTACAATAGATATATGCATTCACTGCTGTCTTTGGGAATATTAGGTGACGAGACCCCAGTCTCTTCCACTGTAAGAGTCTTGTATCACTGACCAAACAACTTACAAATGGCCTAAGATGCCTGCCATGGCATAGAAATTGAACTCAACGTCTTTCTTCTTCTTCTTCTTTGCGTTCTGGTAATCTGGTAATCTGGTAATCCTAGTTTCAGCTTCATAGCAAACTGGTCACCCCACAGATGCTCCCCTCCTGTGCCAACGAAAAACAAACGCAGCTCACAGTGTCACGCCATGCACTCAACTCAGAAGCTGGGCGATGAAACTACATCCTTCCAGTCTACAAATGGAGCAAAAATGCAATGGCCACCGTCTGGCAAAAAAAAAAAAAAACATTTGCCACGGCTTAAAAAAAAATATTAAATTAAAAAAAAAATGTGGCTGTGCCTAGCGTCCATTTTGACCGGAAGAATTAAATGAGGGTTAATAAACGGTCACCCCAGCAGTAGTCTCATTATTAGCTGGGGAAGGGACTTAGGACGTTACATCCACCAGCAGGCAACGCCCCTATAACGACCTGCCTGCCATCGTTAATGACTGTTCACCCAACAGCCATGCAGTTCTTTGGCACGAAGGAGACACCTTGAACTTGGGTTTCATACTGCCGACTCCCTACTAAGATGTTATTTTATGTTTTGTTATCACAATTAATGTCACTGCACATTGGGCATACCCATGCGTGCTCAGTTCTCCGAAGCAGCAGCCACTCCAAAGTACTTCTACTAATTGTCCCCATGAGAAGCTGGTTATATTGTCTCCTTTCTCGGCCTCGAAGACGGCAAAGACGTGCATCACCATGCTTAACTCCCATGTCATGCAATCGTGTTAGTGTCAGGGATTCCTCATTCTCCACTAGCCCAGTTCGTACAGCGTTGACTATATCTGCTCTGTTCATACTTTTTCCCGCAATCATTAGTGCGGTGCTTGCCAGTTGGTCTGCTCGCTCATTTCCCTTCACGCCCGCATGACCCGGTGTGTAGATCCAGGTTCCGGAGGTGAAGGAAGATTTCCGAATGCTTTCTATCCATGCAGAGCGCATACTGCCTGTTGCTATCTTCTGAAGCATATTCATTGAGTCTGAGACAATTACTACCTGTGTGGTGGTTTGCTCGGATACCCATGCTAAAGCTCTAGAAGCAGCGTTCAATTTCATATGCTCAGATCAGACCATCAGGTGGGCTGCCTCTATGAACTTGCATGTCAGTAGCAGGTCCTTCATGGTTCCCCATAGCTTGCTCTGCACACTTTACTTTTGAGGCAAGTTGTAGGTAGAGTGGGCATTAGAAAACTTGACCAAACAATTGCAGACAAACAACAAATTACATTTATATTGTATGTGTTTTTCACGCTGTCTAGCTGAATTACTGTTCTAATGCCTATTTAGCCAATGCTTTATGATTTTCAACTGCAAAGGAATCTTTACTATTTGCTGATATATGATGTTTTGGGTTGAAACGTGCAGATATCACAACTTAGCTATAAATTGTAACTCAATATGCCAATTGAACTTTCAAGGGTAATTGCAGAAGGAAAAAGAAGAAGAATATATGTTTAGCAGATGATAAGTAAGTAAATTTTACCCCACCAGGAGATCACACAGAGCAATAAACACCCGGTGACACAAAGTGCCACCATGCAGATAAGGATCATCCATGGAGAGGTCCTAGAAACCGTGTTCAGCCTTCAGGCTATATTGCGGCCCTGGGAAAAAGCCAGGTTGGGGCTTCTAAATAATGAAAAATTGCGTCCCACATGGGGGCGACTTTAATTAGACTATAGCAGCAGATGGTATCCTTCCATTTCATTAACTCTTTCAGTTCCAAGCAAAACCTGATGTGTTAATGAATCTACCCTTTGAATCCCTCCATACAATAATTTGTTCTCTTAATTATTTTTTTTTAAATTTTTGGTCAGGGCAAACAAATGAAATCTGGCTTTCTCAAATGGTACTACAGCTGTGTATATTGCCATTTTAAAAGTAATTCACAATTTTTCACCAATAGTCATTTCTTCTCTTTGGATTTTAATTCGATTTGATACAAGAACCAACATCACAGCACTCGGGGCATTTCCATAAGTGCTCCGTCCCTATCTTTAGCAGCCAGTGAAGAGTTCTGATACTAATAGTGCCAGTAGCATTCTGAGCCTCGAGCATCTGCCAGAACCTCTCGTCACTCCCTTCCGCATCAATTTCACCAGACTGTGGTGATCCATCTGCTCCCCCGAACTGTACATGCTCTCCCACAAGGCACTAACCATGTCTGCCTAATTATGCATCAGTATTCCACCAAGTTTTGCAGAGCCAGCCAGTCTGTCTGCATGTTAATTTCCCAATACACCGGCGTCTCCCGGTGAAATAAATTCAGACAATACTCCTAACCCGTGTCCTACGCAGCGAGGCATGCCACTCTGCACACAAGCATGCCTGTCCTGATCTTCCTTAGCATGCTTTCTGAGTCAGTTATAATCATGATGTGTTTGTGTGTGTGTGTGTGTGTCATGTTCGTCACTTTGGAATCTCCTGTAAAACTTTTTGGTGCCAAAACTCAAGATCTTTTAAAGTTACCTATCTAATAAAAGGGAGAGAATTCAACAAAAGTGAAATTAAACATTCACATATTCTGTGACCTAGTTATCACTGCTTTGCAGGCTAAACGTGGTATCTGGGATCTGCTCTGCTGATCTGCTATTCAGACTAATTTATTTAACCCTAGGATAAAAAGTAAAGTGAAGGTCTCTTTTTCAAGCCCTTATGCGTATTGGGAATATAGGGCAAGTGTTATATTTTTATAGACCAATCGGCACTTGGTGGATGATGTGGTCAGCATCACGCTGGCCGACTTTACTTCCCAGGACTGTACCTGGTACCTACTCAAGGCTTGGTTGACCTGGGAGTCTAGGTCATTTAAAAAAAAAAAAAAAAGTCAGGCACCGTTAGGCTGTGAACCTACAGGCGGGCATCTAGCTGCTAAAGCTACAGTGACTCCCTGAATCCTAGGATGGTAAGTCTAAAGTAGCAGCATATAAAGGACAAAACTATCGATGATCCATAAATAAATTATGTTGAGTTTGTATGTTACACATCCACATACACAACAATAACAACATCATATAAATATAGGGTGCATGTTTAATGACTGTGGACTTTTTAAAAAATCAGTTATTTGCACACCGTAATTAAATTTGTGTGTAATATTATGTTTCTATCGCCATGTACCCATTAGTTTAAAATATCCCTGTTATAAACTATTACTCTGTCATCCCCTTGTGGGATGCAGGTTTTTGTTATTTGAAGCCCTTATCTGGCTATTGCCAGTGGCCGTAATATAGCCTGGCCATAAATATGGTCTAATGGCTGAACACGGTTTCTGGGACCTCTCCATGGGTGATCCTCATCCACATGGTGGCACACGGTGGCACTTGTGTCATTGTATGTTTATCGCTTGTGTGATGTCCTGGTGGGGTAAAAGAAGATAGATTAATAGATGTTATTAACTGGTGTTTTAGTAATAACTGACCTTAGCCATAACAGTGTTAACTATTAAAGAAAGAGTATTTTTAGTTGAGCATGTGTTCCTTAATGGTGGCAGGCACTCGGATGTGGTTCTTTAACAAATTATGATGTCATTTCATGATACCCAAGTGCCTCATCCTAATACTGTTACCAATTTACCCAGTAGAATCAATTGTGAATAGAGCTTTAATGTAGAAAACACTGCCCCAAATAAGACATACTTCAGCAGTACATGTTGCATTAACTCCACAGACGGTGATTACAAAAACAGGAACAGCAATACTTTTAAAAAAATACAGTCATCAACAATACACCTTGTCAACAGAAATCTCAACCAACCTTTGAGACTAAGTATTTCATACATAATGTGCCACAACAGCTGCAAAACTACCCATGTACTTAGAACAGCAATTCCAAAATATGTCTGCTCACGGCTCATATACTTGATGCTGTAGGCAAGAAACATGGTCACAGCTGGGGAAAAAAGTAAATAACTGCTTTATTAATCCTCACTTATCATCTGGATCCATGTTGCCCTATTATGGAAAGGGGGTGGGAGGAAGGGGGAGGATATACCCACTGCCCTCCTAATAAACAGGTCCTAACTGGCAAATAAGAAACCAAAAGTCTTCACACAAATAAGCCTGATCTGTAAAATGGATGTGCACACAAATTAATTCTTAGCCCACATAAAACTGCAGGTGAAACCATTATGGAATGGGTGGCCAAATTATAACTTTTAAAAATGTTGAACAGGGTATCATATGTTTGTGCTGTTGGCTTCACATCAAATTGAGATTTTAATAATGCCAAGATGATCAAACTCTTTATCCTCAATAAAGAGCATTGACCCTCAACTAACTCACACAAAATCGTCCTATCCTTTGCTACTTTCTGTAGCCTAACTCCCGTCTCCATGTGTCTTATTAGTCTGCCTTTATCTCTATGGCATTCTTGGTTTTAGTGCAAAAATATTTTAGTTATTTTGTTCCCAGGTTTTTTCAACATGTGTTCTATGCAACACCAGTGGCTTTTCATCATATCTTGATTCATTAAAACATAGCTTTTGAAGTACTGTTTTATTAAACTACCATCTTTACAATTGAGATGGGCTATAGTGAAACCTATGCTGTCCATAAAAGCCTTAAACCGCAAGACCCCAATCACTTTCAAAGTGCAACACTCACACCACACACAGAAAGCTTTAAGAATGGTCTTTTACTTTTAAACCCTGTGTAACAGAAATCTCACCAGGTACTCAAGGATTATGAAATGTGATCACTAACCTCTAAGCTGCAGAGCTTAGAGTGCTGTAGAATCAGAAGTTCAACAAATGACTCATGACTATTCCCGCCCAGTTAATGTGATTATCTATACAGATGGCTCTGTGCTTAGGGTTCTTAGCAAAGGTAAATGGATTTTGTTTAGTGCACAAAAGCCTGTCATATTATAGTAGTTACATCCTTTAGATATTTTCTCCAGGTCATGCCACTGTGTTGGGAAATGAGCAGGCAGATGACTTGACCAGTTCTGCACCACTTGGTGGGGAAATGATGTATGACATGCTAGATGTTGTGAGGGCCCTTTGAAAGTGAGTAAATATTGAAGATCATTATGGTCTGAGGAGAATGGCACTGTGAGGAATTACCAGGGGATCTGCCAGACACTCGACACTCAAGATGGATATACAGTCAGACAGTGGTGCCATCGGAATTGGAACTCTGTGCTTACTGCTAAAGATAGGGATGTAGCTTTTATGGGAGTGTCCCGAGTGCTTAAATCAACATTTAACATTCAACATTTAAGCTACAGAGCCATTACTACTTGCCTGCTAAAATATGAGTAGTTTGCCCCAAGATGCGATGTCCATAGTTGAACAAATATCGCATCTCATGGTCAATTCCTGGACGGAAAAAACCTGCAATCACCTGGAGAGTCACTGATGCCACAACTATCAGTCCAAAATAGGAATGTGGAATTGAAAACTATAAGTTTAGGGACAGAGAAAAATAGAATTAATGTGAAAATTATTATACTAACAAGAACAATTATATGAAAATTATCATACTAACAAGAACGGTCATGTGAAAATTATCATATTAACAAGAACAGTAAAGTAAAAATTACCATACTAACAAGAACACACAACCTCACCCATCAAGAATTGCAGGGTACATTAGAGAAGTACTTGGTATAAGCATTATGGATCACTAATTATACCTATCTGCGTCTGTGGCTTAGGTGGAGCAAGCGCGCTTGGTAATGCTGAGGTGGTGGGTTTGATCCCAGCTGCAAGCAAATTGGCAGCAGACCGCCTTGCATTGGTTTTGACAGAGGTATCAAGAGCCAACTAATCAATAGCAGTGGCAAACTACTGAATAGAAAAATTGGCTAGTAAAATCACAAACAGCTAAAAAAACTGTCAGGATTGGTTCTGGAATTCATGTAAAAGATACACAACTAACTTTTAATTATGCTTTCCTTGCAAGTTGGCCAAGGTATCGGGGACCTGTCTCTCATAATATGGCTATTAAAGTTGCAGGAGTTGTCTAATCTTCAGTTAGCAGCCTCCCTAAAAAAAAATGCACAGAGCAGGGTACTAATAAAAAATCAAATTTTTTTAAATGTCCAGAAACCATGAGTTCTTAACCCTTTGGTTCGGTACTATGGATATCACAACCCTTCAGCCTTGATTCCATGACAGATACTGTAAATCTGGGAAAAATGTGACGTGAACCCGGACCACAAGGAGTTCATCATCCAGTCACTGTGAAGTCAAGTTTAACCAACTAGGCTAGCGAGCCGGGCATAAATCTATTAAAACGATTAACCTTAAGTAATATTTTAAAATAATTTCATAAAATATGATCATTTTGTCAAGAATTTAGGCATAAACATGGAGATCTTTTCAACTATGAACCTATTTTGACAGCAGTTAAAAGACAGAAAATGCAGTGGTATAGACATGTAATAAGATCTGCCAGGCTATGCAAAACAATATTACAGGGCTCTGTCGAGTGGATGAGGAGAAGAGGTCGACCATGAAAGACTTGAATATCGAACTTAGCCAGCCATACAGGCCTCAGACATGCAAACATGAAGTCCATTGCATCTGACCATCAGAGGTGGACAGAACTGATGAGACACTCAACAGCAATTGGTGACCCAACGACACAGCAGAGTGTTATGGAACTGTAATAATGATAATGACATGGAGATCATAGCATTGACATCAATTTACAACTTAATAAAAAGTAAAAAATGAGCCATAGTAGTGCAATAGATGGAATTCTTACTTGCTGACCCTGTGGTCATGTTTTAAAATCCTTTTCAAGGCAAAGATTTAAAAAAAAAAATAATAATTACCTAGACACACAGTTTGATGAAAGCCTGAAATGAGGCAAGGAAATGTACTTGGAAGTAAAGCTGACATGTATGACATTGATCACATCAACAACCAAGCACTCATTATAAAAATAACTGGCTAATCATGCATACCAAATACACCTTTAGATGTTGCTTATTTAAAAAAATATATATATACATTATGAAAGTGCTTACACACACATAATTTGAAATAACAGTTGTGAGTGACCATATCTGGCATCGATGGCATATAAGAGGAACTGATGAATACGCTTTATATAAAATGCTTTTGTTTTTTAAATGCTAACTGAGACTGCCTTAAGCTGTACAGAAACACTCTAAGCAGTTCAAAATTGAAGTAATTCAAAGAGTGCATTGTACTAACAGAGCTTAAATACACTTTTCCCTCTTCTATTAGCCTATGCCATGTGGTACTGGTAGTCACATCTATATCCACAGTCAATCTGTCTTGTATGCTTTTTTTCAGTCACTTTTTAAACAAATCACCCTCCATGTCATGATGCCAAACTGTCTGGCATATTCTCTCTTGGTCTCCCCTTGCCATTTCTTCCTCTCCAACTTTCTTCCTGCCATAATGTATACCAGTTTTCTGCTTGTTAGAATGTGAAAGAGAATGTAGATTGTCTCCTTCTGAAGTGAATAAACAGTTCTTTTTGTAAGTTACTGTCTATCAGGACATCTTTGACACACTTTTAATTTGTCCACAATGCTCTCATTATTTGTTTTGAAAACCACAGCTATGTAGTTTTCACATCAATTTTTTTAAAGACTAACTAGCGGGTGTCCAAGACTAATATCAGTACTTCAAGATTAGCTCTATGTAACTCCTAAGAACTCTCTTTCTCACCATCCTTACCCAAATAGGACAAATAGGATACTGGTTAGACCAGGCTGGTGTAGCTATTACAGATGCCCTAATAATAATTTCTGTAGAGGTTGAAAGGGAGATATGAGATCTGCCTTGCTGGATTGCCATCCAGATTGAGATTTATAAAATCTCAGGATGGCATGGTACACTTATAGGTAACAGTCTGGAGGAGGACACACTGATCAATGAATCTTTCTCAACTCAGTTATACATAAATCTCTCAAATTACATGTTTTATATAAAACTGAAACAGCTCAACAAAAACGAACCGCTCTTATGTCTTTTCCATACTGAAAGAATATCGCTGCAATTCCAGTAAGTGTCATAATAATCACTAGTAAAGCAAGGCCTCTGTGGATCTGCATGAAATAAAGCATGGGGTTACCGAGGTATTTTTCATACAATAGGAATAATACATATTCAAATTTTTTACAGTTAGAAAATGTTTTCTGACAAAAGCAGACTAAAACAGAAAAAATAAAAATTTATAGTGTGGTAAAGTAAAGTTGAAAAAAAAATATAGTCAGGTAAACTAAAATACAGTAAAGTAAAGCAATCATAATTAACACAACGTAAAGTGAAATGAACTGAGTGATGTCAGCAGGGCTTTCATGGCAGTATACAGTGCCCGCTGCTTACTTTTAAGGCAGCATTTATTTTTCAACGCTGTTAGAATACACGCTTAGTAGTGAGTGCTGGCACTTTTTTATACATTTTTGGTAAACACCAGGCTGTTTTTCCTTCTAGGAAAGAAAGCTTTGCATGCAACGTAGACCATGGTGGTATAGTGGCTGGTGCTCTTCCCTGCCAAGAAGAGAGTCTTCTGTGCTCAATCCCAACAAGGAGCAAGAATTTTTTTAATGAATAGGTCTCTAGTGTATTAGTCTCAGGAAAATAAGTGTTAGGCAGTTCTCAGAGCTTTCTGGGAATTGTCTGAAAGGGGGGGGGGGGGGGGGGAATGACAGGGGAAATAAAAGGCCACCCTATTTCAAATGTGATTTTAAATGCATTAAAGTGCAACCCTTCCTATGCCACTAGCACTATCTGCTATGCTGTTACTCGTTTCTTTCATTCAACCTCCAGTTGTCCTATTGTGCCATTACATCTCACACAGGGATCACAGTCTATTTCTCCATTCTGTTCCTTCCTGTAAAACCCCTTGGCCATCATAGATGGAATCCAGTCCTAGATCTTTGGCAACACCACTTTTGACTTTTTCTTGGAAGGCCTTATTTCCTCAGTCAATCTAGTTCCCATTTCACTAGGAGCCATAAAACAATAGAAACAGGCCTATGAAAAACTGAGGGGAAGAATCAAATCAAACGGTGGATTACAGGAATGAGGAAGAGACAGTGGCAAATGAGTGCTCCCACTCCCAGCATCACGTTTCATACAACCTAATCATTCTAGTAATTAAAAAATTATGGAAATTTAGACTTTCATACAGGAAAGCCAAATTTATAGCACCCTTATACCTAGTTTCCTTTTAGGAAAACACAATAGACTACTTCATGCTAAAATGCACCCTATGGCAACAGGAAAGAAAGCCCTAAAAAAATTCATTTTCAGGACACACACAAAATTGTCTTTATAGATAACATAACAATATAATAAGACAGAGATGGTGAGGTAAGAAAAAGAAACTGAAAAGGATAAGGACAAAAAAAGAAGAATTAAACTGTGTGAAACAACCTAAACAGGGGAAGACTGCCTAACTGTCCCCTTATAGTAAAGTAAGTAAAGATCCCTCTTCATGCCTTTAGGCGCAGCATTGGGCATATGGGAAGAGCATCCATATTTTTGACAGACCAATCAGCACTAGATGGGTAATGTGGTCAGCATTACGCCGTCCATCTTTACTTCCCCAGGACATACATCCTAACACCCACTTCAGGCTGGGTTAACCTGCGATGCTTCATACCATTTATAAAAATCAATGCAGCCAGCAGTTGGATTTGATCAGGGTACATTGGAATTACGAGTTGGACTTGCAACGCCTAAGCCACGGACGCCGTGACTGTCCCCTTATAAGAAAGTCTAACATATACAAACCAAAAGACCCAAAATAGTAACCAAGACGCAAATAATAAAAATGCGCAAAACTATAGGGTATATCATGTGCAGCATAATACACATTTCAGGCTGGATCAACTGATACCTAATATTTAAAAAAAAAAAAAAAGTCCTGCTCCATCTGAACCCATGGCTTTCTGTTTTGCAAGCGAGCATCTGGCGCTACACCACCACGGCTACCTTTAGTATACATATGTGTGTGTGTGTTCAAACACATATACATGTGGTCCCACAGGGGAATGCACACTTGTGTATATATATATATATATATATTTGGTGCATACCAGCCCCCTCCCAATAATCATCAATAGGTACTAGAATACTAATCCAAACCACTTGTTTTGATGCAATTACCACTTCTTAACCAACATATTTGACTCAAAGAAACCTGACCACAATTATAGCTAACGCTGCAAGTAGTAGGTTGAACGTGGTTGATTGTTTTGTTTTGTTTACATAAACGGACTAACCCATTGAGGGGTGTCCAGTCTACACATGGTTCCTCTGGACGGGTTCTTGAGGGGAATACCTATAGATAAGGGGACAAAGAGAACACCACATCTGTAAGGCTATGTCGGATCCCACAAAATTATCTGGGAAGGTAACCTGGTTAACAAATGCTCAAGGAAGCTGGATGTGTCAGCTGAAAGGTGCAAATATTGAAGTTTTGCTGAAAAACATGCACAATGCAATTACATCACGTAGACGAATGAAAAGAGGAAGAAGAAATCTGCAAAGCCACAATGTCAAATTTCTGTTTCTAATTAACTTTGGCTACTAGATCAACCCAGGAGTCACCGTGGCATAGCGGTTAGATGTTCATACGCGGATCGGAAGGTCATGGGTTCACTCCCTGGCTAAGCCGGACTTTTTTCAAAAATGACCTTGGCTCCCAGGTCGGCCCAGCCTAGAGTGGGGACAGGATGCAGTCAAGTAAGTAAAGGTAGCCGGCATGATGCTTACTACATCCCCTATCTTGTGCCGACTGGTCTTTAAAAACAAGGGTCTAGCCCTATATGCCCTTTACACCCAAAGGCCTGGGAAAGGGACCTTTACTTTTTTTTTAACCTAGATGAACCCACCTAAAATGGATATCTGGTTATTTTAGAGAAAGAAGAAGTGTTTCGCAACATTTTGACAACATTACCCACTGAGTGACAATTGGTCTAAAAAAATATAGTTTGCATCATATGACCAATACATCACTTGCATTTAAAAAAAAGTCCTTCACTTTCTTCAATTACTGATGACTAACCTGAAACCACACTTTGGTACCAAACAGTGTTACTTTTGGCATCCAACCTCTGTAATGCCTTGAAACAACTGTGATGATTCCACTAAGGAAGATCCATGCAATCATCATCAAGGAAGCTTTGAGAACAGTTTTAAAATGTACAATTAATTATAAAATAAACAGTTCAAAATATCAACTGTATCTACACTAACCCTGTGCAGGGAATTGGGATAGAACAGGGCTAAATACTTAACTGCCTACTCACAGGTCTTCCTTTTAAATCTGCATCAATTATTTTAAATATCTGGCCTTGGCTCTTAAGTTGACCATGAATTAAATGGGTACCAGGAAATGTTGAGGGATGTAGTGGTGGCTGGTATGATGCCAACCGCATAAGCCTGTAACTCTTTCAGTATGAAACAACACATCATGCGTGACTGGATTTACTCATATGCACCAGTTAACATTTTATTATGCTTGTACATTTTATGTTTAGTATGGGGCATGCTAAAACACTCAACAACATAATAGTCTCCCACTATGGTTGTGCATTTTGGCCCTTCAGATGTAGAATACCCATTATTTTGTTGATCACATAACTGACTCACTGGGGTATGACCTATGATCTTCTGGTATGGAAAGAGTTAAGTGCTGATTGGTTTCTATAAATATGGGTCTATCACCATATATGTAAAGATTTAAATGTTAGAGCTTAATTACTTGCTTACTTTTACTTTTCCTGCAATAGATAGTCCAGTCAGAGGTTAACTCTTTTAATCCCATTTGGCTTTGTTAGTAACTCATTGTCTCTTAGTTTTTACTGTAGCTTCAGAGATCCTGGGTATTTAGCATCCTTTAGATATTTTCTACAGGTCATATCAGTATGCTGGGAGACACACAGGTAGATATGCAGGCTTCTTCTCCATCACTTAGTGGAGAATTGATTGATTGATTGACAAACTGGAGCTGTAAGGGTCCTTTGGGACTGAGTCAACAGTGCAGAAGTGCAAATAGATCATTACGGTCTGAGGAGAATGGTGTAGTTGTGTTGTTCAACACTCAAGGAATAGGTGAGAAGGGTATTCAATTAGACCGTTGCTGTAGCCATCAAAATTGGAACTCTGCACTTTTTGCTGAAGATGGGGACAATGCGCTTATGTGAATGTACCGAGTGCTTTGATGTTGATTCTTAACTCTTTTAGTCCCAGAGGGTTTAGCATCACAGGCCCAAGGGGTAGTCAAAAGAGACTTAAAATCGGCGCATCGTGCGTTCATTGGGCTTCTAGGCAGTTACCTATGAACGCATGATGCGTTCCTTGGGACTCAAAGAGTTAATTCAAAATTTAACATACAACATTCAAGTTATTTCTGTAACTACTGACTCTGTAAGATCTCTTGTGACCAACAAGTATTTGATTAATTCCATCTTTTCAAGACACGTATTACATAGAGTTTCAAATGCCTGAGGCAAAGAAAGTTTAGAAATAGTTGCGATGCATGAAGCAAGCAAAAAAAAAATCATTGAATGTTTTGTCAGGTGTGAAAAAAAAAAAAAGGTTAAACACTAATTCATCAGACATGATTAATTTGCAGCATTAGATGTACTAATTTTAAAACGTTGTCCATCTTAAACATATAAAATGAACAATTCCTGATTACTGATTACTGAATTAGGAATCAACATCATAGCACACTGGGCATACCCATAGGTGCTCCTTCTCCCGCAGCAAATGTCTTAAGGTGTAAATGCTAACTGCTCCCATAGCACACTGATTATACATATGTCGTTCTCTTTCTATCATATGTCCCTTCTTGTTGGATCCACACCTGATTCCCCGTTCACACATTCTTGCACATGTTATTTAATCTAATCTTGTGTCTTCTGTCAACATTATTTTATAAATGGTCTTCAGAATGTCTACCTTGCCCAGTATGAATGTTTCTGTAGCTTTTGTTTTTGTGGGCAGAAAATTCGCCTTTTCATTCCCTTGCAATCCTGCATGTCCCGGACAGAATATCCACCTGATTCTCTGAAATGTTAGTATACTGATATACTGATACTTGGTATCCACTCATGCCATATTAGTTCCTTTTGAACTTTCTGCCCTCCAAAGTGCTGACTGAGAATCTGACACAATAAATCCTCTGGTAACTTTGTTTTCTGCTATCCAAATCAGAGCGCCCACTACCATCCTTAGGACCTCTAATTCTGCCATATTGTTACACCACTTTCTACATAAGTGGAAATAAAAAAGAGCATTTGGTAAATATGAAATCCCTGGGTAAAAACATGGCTGTCTTGACCAGATGTATGTGTTGTGTATGTGTGTGTTATATCTGTGTGTCTAGTGTTTGTGAATGTATTATAGTGTGGTATCTGTGTAGGCTATGTTTATGTGAGGTTTGTATATGTGAGTGTGTGTGTGTGTGTATATGTATATGTGTTTAATTCTCTGTGTGTGTTGTCAATGTATATGTGTGGTTTTTTGTGTGTCTACCTCGTTTCCATGTCTGTGCTGTGCGTGTCTGCACTGTGTGTATATTTTTGCATATATATTTACTGTCTATGCTTTTGTATTTTCACTTAGCACTCATACTAATCATTTTGATACACAAACATAATAACCTTTATACTTAAAATACAAATGTCATGTGAAAGATGAGTGTTTGAAAGAACCAAATGTAAGACAGATCTGCTTGCCCAATTTGAAACCCTTTGGAAAAAAAATGGGTTAGTTCATTTATTTCGTGAGTGACTGCAAGTGTATGTAGGGCTGGCTATTTATTAACTCTTCTTTGTTTATATTATCTATCCTCTGATTATATGATCTCTGCTCTGTTTTCTTTGACTACCTCATGGTCTACTCACATTCTACTTTTATGTGTATACAGTTTTCGCCTCTCTGTCATCTGCCATTCTCTATATTATTTACCATATTCTCTATATTAGCCCCTAACATGTTAATGTATTCTAAATTATTATCTACTGTTGAATAAGTAAATGTTGAATTATGTAAGACTACTAAATAAACACATTTTAAAAACATAAAGTAATTTTGTAATTTTGCATGATCACCATAACTCTAGATCAGGTCAGTGCTCTTGTTTCTTGTTACTATCAAAAGGTATTGATCTCTTTGTCTTCCCCAGTAAGACTAGGAAACTGAGTAATAATGCAAACAATTCTGTGAACATGGTGAATGAGATTGACTGTCCAGAATCACACACACCATGGACTGCATGAAGGGAAAGTAAAGGGAGAGACAGAAACACCAAACATGTGTGTAAACATAAAGAACAACATTCACTGCTCCAGATGTCACTTACCATGGATTTTAACTAGTACAGGAAATGATGATCCTCTGTGAACAACTGCTTCTTTTAAGTTGACCTTGCTAGAGGAAACAACTGGCATTTCCACATGTTTGGCCAGCACATCAGATGCTATGTTCAATTAAATAATTACATTAAGATTATCTTAGAAAAGAGAAAAAAAAATTATCAATTAAAAAAAAATCAGTATTACAAATTTAAGTTATACCAGCTTCCCTTAATTCTCAGAATATTTTCACGTATCAATCTTAGGCTATGTTGACCTGGGAGCTTAGGTCAATATAAAATGCTTTTCTCAACTGAGATTTAAACATTTGCCCAAAAAGCTGACAGACACGTGTGCTTGGCACTACACTATCTTATACATCAGCTAGCCTGTTTTCTTCTATCTTTGAATGAATTGTTTGATGACAAATTGGCACTTCGTTCTTTGTAAAATTAGTTTATGAAGTTTATATGTACTTATTTAATAAATTTTAAAGAAAACACCCATTAACTGTCAGAAAGCTGAATTTTTTATTGTGTGGTGTGTGTGTGTGTGTGTGTGTGTATGTGCATGCTCTCATGTGTGCGTGCATGTATGCGAGGAGCGGCTCTGGATAGCTTGATTATTTTTTTTCCATTGCAGGGAAATCCACCTACTCTGGAACTGTGTGGCAGAGATTCATTTCTAGAAATCTGGAGGCATGTTGAGCGCCATTAGCAGCTATATTATTTGGCGGAAGCAAACTTTGTTGTTTTCCACAATAAGATGCTGTTTAATAGCCAGTTTTCTTTGGTGTTCTGGCTGTTATATTTACCTCCCAGAAATAATATGCACACATGTGATTAGTGAAGTTGTTTGCTTAGAGTCAATTAAACATAGGAGCCATGGTGATGTGGTGGCTAGATGCTCACCTGTCAGCCTGAAGGTCTTGAATTTGAATCTGCATTGAGTGAATATAATTTTTTTTTTTTAAATTGACTCCCATGTCAACCCAGTCTAAAATAGGTGCCAGGTAAGGTCTTGGAAAGTAAATGTTGCCTGCATGGTGTTGCCCATATCACCCAGAGGGTGCCAGGTAAAGTATTGGAAAGTAAACATTGTTTGCATGGTGTTGACAACATCCCCCACTGGGTGCCAGTTGGTCTATACAAATATGAGTCTAGAATCATATGCCCAAAATACAACTGCTAGGAAGAGGGTACTTTTCCTTTTTAAAAAAATGAAACATACTAAAAACAAAAACCAACCCGGCATGGTATCACCCCAAGCAAGCATCAAATACCAGCCTCGTTCTTTGTTGAAAGTAATATTTGTGTAATTTAGCACATCTGATTTTGAGTTTATGATGTAAGCAGAGGATTCTTTTGGTAACACAAATTTACACTGCAGTTGACCATCAGACTGTCGAATTTCAACTTCAGATAAAAATCTCTGCAAAGAAAGAATGAATACTTCTTTATTTCTATAGAAAATAAAGATCATGCATATAACCTTTAAAGTAATATACTCTGATTTTCCCCTGACTCTCCTGTTTGCTTTGTACTCATGCATGCTTCTCTCTCTGCACTGGAAGTGACTACTACCCAACCTTTATGCTGTTCCTTATATACACTTGTGAAAAAGAAATCATTTTTATTCTACCTATTGTTCATACTGATGACCACACTTCACTGCATTGCATATTACTTTATTAGGCTGTATTGGATATTACTTTACATGTTTTGACATTTGATACATCATATTTATATTTTTTTAGTTCAACCAACAACAACAAAAATAGCCTTCCTTTCATGTTATGAGGTGTGTATACAGTATTAACTCCCATATTAGTAAGCACTTGATTTATTGCAGAGCAGTCACATGTCAGCCAACTTTCCTTCCCAAAAAATGATCAACAGGACTGCTTAGGGCAATGGAAAAAAGCAACAATGCTCTAACAGGAAATTGAACAAATGACCACTGCTCCAGTTGACAAGATTGTGACTGAAGCCCCACAAACAAATTATATATTCATGTGAATTCATCTTGGTAAAGATTCAACATCACAGCATTCAGGATAAGCCCAAATTAGCTATATCTCCCTCTTCAACAGACAGCGAAGAGCTTCCATACTGATGGTGCCCATTGTCATCTGGTTAACTACTCCTCTTGCCTTTCCTTTGAGTCTTGAGTGGCGCACAGAGTCAACAGCCACTCCCAGGTGTATCATTCTTTCCATGTATGGGTTTTCATTATCTTCTGTTTCACCTGTTACCAATTCCCACAGGCTAGAGATCACTTCTGCCTTGTGCAGTTGCAGTACACCTCCAAGTAGGGCCAGGTCAGCTACCTTATCTGTTTGCTCATTCCATATTAATATACTATTCTGTTTCCTTAGTAGTTTTATCTGTTTATGTTGACTACACATTGGAAGGTTGGTAGATTTCCTAATGGCATCCTCTATGGTAAACTGCAAATGTGTAGAAGATACTGAGACTGGCCTCCACTCCGATATAAAGATGTGTGTTAGCAGCACACGAATGATATGATATGGATGTGGATTCATGGAAAAGAATGCTATGGACTTAATTGTAAGGAGGGAGACAGTCAGGAAAGGAATAAAAATTGATAATAAAATGATTGCAGACAGGCTAGGGGTTAAGCATCTGAAAAGAAGCACAGTAAATACATGTGCTGGCAATGATCGTCCTGAAATACCATGCTGTAACTGTAAAAGACTTTCTTAAAGTGAACAGGCCAAACTCAATATTGCCACAGCTGTAATTCCCATGCACAGGTTGAAAGCTAAAACCAAGATAATGAAGGTCCTTATCTGAGAACTGCTGTTCGTTGATGGTGTAGAATTGCCACCCACTCAGAGGAGGAACTGTTATGTTCACTATCTGCATTTGCTTATGCATACTGTGAATTTGTACTAACAATCATTAAGAGCGGCATCTGTGGCGTGGGCATTGCGAACGCTCTTCGTAATGCCGGTGTGCTAGGTTCAATCCCAGCTGAAGATGGTTTGTCTTGCGTTGGTTTCAACTGTTGTAGTGAGAGCTGACTTTTCAGTAAGCAGTGGCAAACTACTTAATGTAAAAATATTGCCTACAAAACCACAAAGGCCAAAAAAATGCTGGGGTTGGTTCTGCAATGTCCTGTAAAGGATTCACAACTAACTTTCAATCATTAAAAAGAAGACAAAGATTATGGTGCAAGGTGTTAATGAAAAACTTGCAGTGTACATTGACGGAAGTTGAAGAGCTAGAGACAGCTTACCATTTTACATGTATAGGATCAACAGTAAATAACAAACTATTGCTGACATAAATAAATCGACATCAGGATAGGTAAGGCAGAAACAACAATGAGCAGAGTAACAAAAAGTGTTCGGAAGAACAGAAAACTCTAATTTAAACAAAAATCCATGTCTATCAGGATTCTCAGCAGTTAAACTTGAAATAATTTTTACATGCGATGCTAAAACAAATTGTTAAAGTAACTAAGCATTTTTGTCGAGGACAAATAAGCCAAAAAATGAGACTACAAGCTTATGTAAGTACTAGTAGAAATGTGCAACTGGGACAGTGCATAACAAATTCTTACTGTTAGCATGCGGGTATTGTAACTTCCAGGATTCCATCCATGCTGAACACTACCAAATCCTGCACTGAATACACAGGAAATAGTTTCATCATCACCCTGAAATTTAGATAAAATACAGATGTGTCTTTTTATTTATTAGATGAAATATGACATAAAGTAGATTAATAGTGCTATAGACCCTGTGTTGGTTACACAGGTTAAAGGTCAAAGATTTGTTAACACTTGATGTTTTGGGTAAAAAGGGGACATGTATTTCAGTCTAACTGTAAACCATGACATGTCTTATCACTCTTTTGAGGTGCAAAACAAGAAGAATTGAAAGAAGCAAGAGGAGCAGGAGCAGGAAGAGGGAAGGAAAAAGAGGACGAGAGTGAGAAGGAGGATGAGAAAGACAAGCAGAAGAAGTAGAAGAAGAAGAATGAGGAAAGGAGTGGGAGCAGAAGAAGAAGAAGAAGAAGAAGCAGCAGTAGCAGCAGCAGGGGACGGAAAAGCTGGAGATGGAGTAGAAAGAGAAAAAGAAGAAGAAGATGAAGAACAAGAAGAAGAAGCAGCAGCAGGAGGAGACAGAGAAGCTGCTTATCCCCCAATGAGCAAAGGCCCTCAACCAGCTCATGCCAAGCCTATTGTGTTTCATGTGCGAGAGTTGGTTGAGGGTCTATGCTCCACTGGGGGTTAGAAGGCAGAAAAAGAAGAAGAGTCACAAATAATTAATTATGCGACTCAAGTTGGGCTAAAGTCTAAATTGTGAGACTCAAGTTCCGACCACTGTAATGTAGCTAGTTCAAACTTGAAAATATAAAAAAAACAGAGACACCTAAAGTTTTCTTTTTAAAGTATCCAGGAACCATGAGTTGTTCACCCTTTGCCTCGGTACTATGGATATCGCAACCATTCGGCCTTGATTCCATAATAGGTACCGTAAATCTGGGAGAAATGTGGCTTTTCTGCCAACCCCCGGGCTTGAAATCGGACCACAAGGAGTTCGTCACCCGGTAACCACGCAGTCCGGTTTAACCAACTATGCTAGAGAGCCAGGCTACTGAAGGGTTTAAATGATGGTGTCTGCTCCAGATAAAGCAACTGAAGAAACAGAAGAAGAAGAGGAAAGAACTAATTCTCAAAAAAACATTTAAACAAATATTAGCCACAAGTACCATTTCTTTGTTATCTGAAAACCCAAGAGAAATCCAACCGGCTGCTGCTGCTGCTGTGGTATGCATCTCAAAGAAATAATCATCAGTGCTTGGCCGATGCTGGAAGCTAACAGCAGCTAAACAGTTGTCTCCTGTGCAGTGTTGAGGATGCAGGAAACATCCTTTGGTATCACCACAGCCAGAGAAGTCTACATCTTGTACCAAATGTTTCCAGGAAATTGCCTAGAAATTGATTAGAGTATGTGTGGTCTATACAGGGTTATTACATTAGAAGCAAATTCAAAATGTGAAATCAAAACTATTTTACACTTTTGCATCCGACACGTGATGTGTGCAGCACAGCCTCTTCCCAGTAAATCTCATCCATTGTGTAATGTATTTATTAATTTTATTATTTATCATTTACCATCCCACTGTAGAGTTAATGAAAATGAGAAAACTGATGAAATAGCTGAAGAAGGTGCAAATGAAGAACAACCTGACGTATCAGTCTCTTATTAGCAAAAGAAGAGAATGATCAAATTAATTGAAAGCCACCAAAACTGGCACAAGATGATTGCCAGATTATGGACATCCTAGAGCAAGTTAATCTATGCCTTAGAACTTAGAACAGGGCAAGTCATTATTCTACACCTTAGAACTGAGCAAGTCATTATTCTGTGCCTTAGAACATGCCAAAATCAACTCTGCAGCCACATTTACACACAATTTAACACTGGCGAATCAGACATATAATCTGTTTAAATCACCCCTGATCAATGGCATCATAGATTGAAATGGTTGGGGCATATTGAAAGAATGTCAGATGACAGAAAAGTAAAAACTGTATACACAAGGACGATGAATGGTTGTAGACCACGAGGCAGCCAAGAAGACGATGGAGAAATAATGTCCAGACAGACCTGCAAACACTTAATGTCAACAACTGGAAATAGAAGGCCAACCAGAGAGATGAATGGAGGTGGGTGATATCTGAAGCAATGAATCTCAAGAGCTCGGAAAGCTGAAAAAGAAGAAGAAGAATCAGTCATGTGCACATGCGGATTGGCACCTGAGACAAGAGATCACATACTATAAGACTGTCTCAAATACAACACATCAAGACAAAACTTCTGCCCAAGAGAAGCAGCAGTGGAAACCAAAATGTATGGGTCGCTGAGTGATTTACGAAAGACAGTGAAGTTATACTAAAGAAAATACTGCAGATATAATCTATTTCAAGCTAACAAATGAAAAAGAGGAAGAAGAAATGTATTACTTATTTTATTTATTTGCTTTTATTTTGATGTCATCTCCAGAATAAAGATTGTTTACACCAGATCAGTGAGTCCCCTGCTGTCTCTGGGGATATTGCAAGACAAGGTTCTTAACTCTTTAACTTTGCAATTTTGAAACCACTGTCCAAAATTCACAACCACAATCTTTATTCTGAACCTTTCAGCACATAAATCTATTCCTAGTTTTTTGAGAATTTATTCACTTAATCACTAAGCCATAAGGATGCAATTGCTAAGATCTAGTTTAGGCATACTGTGTGTGCACGTGCATGCGTGGGTGCGTGCGTGCTATGTGTATGTGTGTGTGTGTGTGTGTGCACCCAGACATGCACAATTGTTTGTGTTTGTTTTCTCTTTTTTTGATGAGAAAATCAAGTTCAGAACAGAACATTGTAAATGCAAATTTTCATCAAACATATATCTTTACTTTCCAGAGAAATGAAAAAAAACAAAGCAATTGTGTTGTCTTTAAAATGAAAGGCTGGCTGCAGTGTGAGTTATGAGTTGTGTTATCTTAATGGCACTCAGGACACGTACATCTGTGCTCAGATTCCTTCTTCAACATATACATCAGCATCCTACAGTTAATAGTGCCAGTCCTATGCTGGGTAAAAAAATTTCTTGTGCACCCAGTGTGCCTCTCATGCCTGGTTGTGCAAATCTTTACTCCTGATTCTCACAAAGTAGTGGTTTGGAGATCTTGCTTCCCAGAATCCTCCAGACGTCCTATCTCTTTAAGAGCATCAGCTTTGTAGGCATGATCCATAGGCTGGCCAAAACTAGGTAGTTTATCAGCTCTGCAGTGTATCCACTGTGTTCTTTCAGAATATGTTATGATGAGGCCCTAATCTATGACCCTGGTACTGCAATCAGAAAGCCAGATATTTTAAAATTCTTTTAAGACTCATGAACCTTTAATTCACCACATTTTCAGAACTGTATATACAACCATTCTATATCGTGAAGCATTTGGGATACTGGAATTGATGCCGTTAATGTGCTTTATTAGCAATGTAACTTAGAGGTTCAACCCAAAGTAGTAATAGATTTCCACACCAGCTGCTGTAGCAAACATTAGGAAACAATTATCTAGAAAAGCATAAGAAGCTAGTGAGAAGCTGATCTCTTATTTTCTGATACATCATGATGCAGCAGGTCCTTTATAGAATGTCATTCTCTTGCCAGCTCTCTTGCTTCATGCACTTTCTTACTCAAGATGTCACTTTTATCCTGTACCCATCTTCATGCTGGTTGGCCCTTACCCCTGCTTCCTGGTACCATGCCTTCTGCTATTATTCTTTCCAATCCACTGTGGTACTTGATATGGCCCAAATATTTTAGTTTTCAAGAAAAGATGCTGTTTACTAGCTAGTTTTCCTTGATTTTTAGATCTTTTAGGTCCATTGTATTCTGAGAATCTTTAAATAACAGTTCAGCTCAAAAACCCCCAGTTTCTTCTTTAACAACTATAAGTAGTCCATGACTCACATGCATAAGTCACTACATGAAGGATGCATGCTCTCAAAATTCTGACTTTGATTTCATTGTTGGTGCTTATTCATAGTCTAATGTTCTTTCATCTTTGTAACGCTAGGCCATCCTTCTTTTGACTCCTGTTAAACAGTCTCCATTGCTGTGTATTATGGAGTTTAGATACTGAAAATTTGTGACATGTTCACTTCTTCATCATTTATTGTTATCATTGGGTGACTTGCAGTTTTGCAATGGAGAATATAAAGTAACACCACTGGTGGAAATGGGTGATTTTTTCCCTTTTTTTTCCCTTTTAACCTTATGTCTCTGCCTCATATATAAATATATATATATATATATATATATATATATATATATATATATATATATATATATATATATATATATATATATATATATATATATATATATATATATATATATATATACACACACATATATATATATGTGTATATGTATATATATATATATATATATATATATATATATATATATATATATATATATATATATATATATATATATATATATATATATATATATATATATATATATATATATATTACCTTGTACAATGGTGGTTTGATAGTAGCAGTATCTTGATCAGCTGAGGGTAATTGTGCCTCTAAGCCAGTCCAGAATGTCTCATAGTTGATAACAATGGTAGCTCTAGTAAAGTACAAAACAGTGCGGTTAGTGATTCTTGCTACATTTGTGTGCAAGTGATACATAATATATTATCAGCCTCTTATATTGGCATAAACTTCATACTACAGTTTCTATGCCACACAATTCACATAATTTCAACATAGATATTCCTCAAATTTGAGGGAAGATCCTACTCAATGACAATACAGGTTCAAGTGTCTGCCACCAGACTGATCATAAATGATTCTATTTGTCCAGATTCTGCCTTGCAACATCTGTATGAAAGGTGTCCTAATCTATGAGAACAGTCTAATGTCCAGAAATAGCAAAGTTCTCATTTTGTGAAGATACTAAAAGACAACTGGGAGACTCAATATATGGGAATGATGTTAAGCTCTGGGACATTATTACATGTCCGTCCCGATATGGGATGCAATTTTTGTTATTTTAAAGTCGCAATCATGGCTGTTGTCGGGGACCCTAAATAAACTAATGGCCGAACAGGATTTCTGGGACTTATGCTTGGGGGATTCCCCTCTGAATGCTGCAACTTAGTGTCACCGGGTGTTAACCTCTGACTGTGTGGTCCTGGTGGTGTTGAACGACACACAACCAACTCTGGGGGGAATCATCTGAAGCCAGATAGTAATGATGGTAACAGGACAGTGAGACTGTGCTGTGAAATTAGGCAGGAAGGCTAACCCTGACAAAGAATGCTCATTAAAGTCAGATTTGCCAACTAAAAGGCACAAATATCCCAGCTACACTGTAACAGGCGAAAAACAATTACGTCGCTCAAACTAGCGATGAAGAACTACCAATTTAACTTTTGCTTTCAGAACTACAAGTTTAATTATTAGTTCAGATTGCTTGTATATTAATCATCAAGTGCTTTGCTGAATGGTGTGGGTGATCATGTCTCTCCACAATCTGCTATCTTCTACAGCATGTATCATATTCGTGTGTAGACATCAGTCATGCCATGACATAATGTGGTAAAGAATTGCCTCAAGTTTTCTTCCTCTGTCACTTTTTCCACTTATCTCTCTAGTGGTCACAAAGTGTTCCAATTTCCTCTCAGTCAGTTTATTATCTTGTCATAAACTGCAGAATGTTATCTTACTATGAATCTCTTCTTGAAAAACAACCCTGATAATTTCATACACTATGAATTATCTGTTTACCTTTTGGCTTGAAACAAAACTGTTTCATTATCAGTTCATATTATTTTGTATATTACCTTGTCAAAACTGAACAATCATATTTTCCAGGCAGTTATGTTTTCTACATCTCTAACCCCAGATATTTTTCCTCCACAATCTTTCCGACTGTTACTTTAATTTGTTTTTAACCTTACTGTTACAATCAGCTATGTATTCACACTCTTTATTTCAAACCCTCCAGTTATTGTCCCTGGAATTCCCTGTGGGCATTTCTTCTCCAGTCCCATGTGCCTTACTAGTCTACTGACAAGACATCGACCTGGCTGCTTCAAAATACTAAGGTAAGTGATTTTTTTGTATTTGTGTGGTATTGTTTTATTTATGTATATGCTGATGAAGGCTTCATAGCCACAACGTTTATGTTTTGTTTGTGTTCATTATATTGTGAAGCTTGCTTAAATACTTTTCATTCGGTTTTATATCTGTTTTTGACATTCTGTGAAAGGAATTTCTTTCTATATAATTTCACTTTTCCCTTTTTTTTGTTATCCAAGATATACTCATCTTCTCTGTCCAAATAGTTATTTAAAGTGTTCTTTCTGTTACATAAACTCCTTCACCTCCTGGGTAAGTGAAGTTCATGTGGTTTGGTAAGTAATAAGTGTACCCTCAAGCTGCTTTGTCATTTAGATTATTGGAAAACAGTTTCTTCTTATATGACTAAAGAACACATGTCCTAATTTCTGATTACATCTGTTCCTGCTGGATTGTTTTCTTTATGAGATATCAATTCTACTAAATCCAGACATTCATTCCATTAGATGTTGCTGAAATGCATCCAAATCAGTCCACACTGCCTCACAAGACATCTATCACTTTTAAAGCTTTCACTTATTCCATTCCTTGACAAAAACAACCACATCTTTCAGTAAACACAACCATGATCTTACTTAAAGGTCACATTTCCAACATGTTCACTTGGTGCCTTCCAGGTTAGTTCCAGTGTCTTAACCTTCAGATTGTTCTTGTGAGTTATCATATTCTATAGAAAGCAAACACAAAAATCAAAGAAAATCTAGCAAAACCAAAATATTATGCTCACAAAATCAATTACTTTTTCTCCTGCTACTTCTTCTTCTACTTCTTCTTCTTTTTTTTCTTCTTCTTCTTCTTCCTCTTCTTCTTCTTCCTTTATCTGCTTATCACCAGTTAAGCAAAGGCCCTCAACCAATGCATGCCAAGTCATTCTTTTTTTAGACTGCTCATGAGTGGTGCTTGTGCCTATAGTGTTTCATAGGAAAAAATATGAATCTTACCCTCAGTTACCTCTTCTGTCATGTGTGGTAGGGTGCAGTGTCACAATTTATTATTCATTGCTCATTTAAAGATCATCATCACCACACATCAGGCATGACCATAAGTGCTCCGATCTCCTCCTGAGTATGTCTCCAAGTGTTCTTAGGCTAACAACTCCCATTTTGTTCTGGTTGATGTAGCGAGGGATGGCTCCTGCATGGTTTCACTGGAGTGTCACTATTCACTGTCTTATGCTAAGGCCCCAGTAATAAAGAGGCATTGTGAAGAAACAGTCATATACTTTAAAACTTCATATGCATGCAGTGTAATTAACTTTTTTGAGTAATTTCATACAATGTGGCCTACTACACATTGTGCAGCTATGACCAAAACCTATTTATTGTTCAATCTTTCAGTCCAAACTAATTACTGTTTTTACTAATTACTTTTCTAGTTGTTACATTATTTGTTTATATTTAAGTTGTTACTCAAACTTTTCAGTCCAGGAAAGTTGTTACAGTTTCTGACTAGGTATTGTTAAGGACAAAGAAGAAAAACTCAGAAGTCCTTTCTTGACGGAATATGTTCTAAAAGAAATGCAAAAACAACAGTATCGACTTTCAACAAAATATTATTACTCCAAGAAAATAAACAAGAAAGCTAAGAAAAACAACAACATTCTAAACTTTGATGATCAAAATTAGTTGTAATGTTATTCTTTATTATTGGGAATGAGGAATAATTTCTTGTGAGAATTGTTCTTAGGTTAAGTTATGTTATGTTATCACAATCGACGTCACTGCACATTGGGCGTTCCCGTGAGTGCTCAGTCCTCCGATGCAGCAGCCAATCCAAAGTATTTCTACTAATTGCTCCCATGAGAAGCTGATTATATTGTCTCCTATCTAGGCCTCGAAGATGGCATAGACGTGCTTCACCGTGCTTTACTCCCATGTCACACAACCATGTTAGTGTAAGGGATTCCTCACTATCTAGGCCAGTACATACAGCGGTGACAAAATCTGCTCTGTCTATGCTTCTTCTCGCAATCCTTAGTGCAGTACCTGCCAGTTCGTTCGCTCTCTAATTTCCCATTACGGCCGCATGACCAGGTGTGTAAGTCCAGGTGAGGAAGGTTAAGTGCAATTTTTGAATGCTTTCTACCCATTCAGAGCACATACCGCCCGTTGCTATCTTCTAAAGCATATTCCTGGAGTCTGATACAATTACTGCCTGTGTGACGGTTTGCTCAAATACCCATGATACTGTTCTAGAAGCAGCAACTATTTCCATGGTCATGGTTGACGTGCTTGTCTGGTAAGCGCCGCTGTCTTCCTGTATTGTTTTTCCCATTCTTTGCACTGTGTATTCCCATGCTGACCTTGATCCGTGCTTCACAGATCCATCTGTGTAGATAATGATATCTTCTGGGTCTGAATGCTGATCTATCAGTTCCCTTATTTCTGTGTCTACGGCCGAGGGAATTTGATCTCTGCAGTATTTTCTGAGTGATGACTGCCTTAGAGATGCCATGCATGCCTACTGGTATATTCGTCCATTCTTTTCCATGACTGATCACGTATAGGTCACATACCTGCTGGATTAATTCCTCAGCCTTTGCCATCTAAGAGCGGCGTCTTTTGAAACGCGTTCCTTTTGTGTCGTGTATAGCTTTGTGCAGTGGGTGGTTAACGTCTGCCGATGCCCTCATCGTCTACACTTTGACATGTGCCACTATGTATCTGCTAGTTATCGTCGGCAAAACCAGGACATAATGCATGGCGTTGCAGGAGGTGTCTTTTGTGCAGCCGAGCATTAGTCTCATAACCTCATTTTGTACTCGGTCCAGTCTTTCTAGCTGGGTTTAGCTGACAGTGAGGAGGCCAAGACCATAGTCTAGAATTGTTGTAAACTATCTTTTACCTACTTTGATAATGTATCTATCTAAAATTAAGTCAAAAGGTAGTTTTATAACCACTGAACAGCTGCCAGCAATTAGAAATACATAAATATGTAAACTGTGATAATGTAATTTCTGCGCAGTAACAAATTATTTGGGTTCAGCCCTGTGCTCAATACACTTAAAGACACTTTAAATACCAGTCGAACATTGGGTGTATAATTCTAGACTTACATTTATATAGGCGGGCATGCACGCACCCACGCACGCTTACACACGCACACACACAGATGCACACACACACAACAAATCCTAGCCCTAATAGCCCATGGCGACATCACTAGGCATCCAACCCTATAGTTCAAACTCAAAGACCCCGTCTGCCTACACTGGAAAAGTAGTCAATGCATGCAGTTAGTACAGTTTTGATGGCAGTTCATAAGTAAAAAGGCATACATGCCTGTAAGTGAGAATCTCTATACGTTGTTATATGCTAAAATAAATTTTATTATTCCCAATATTAAACCTTACCCTTGATCCTGCAAAACATGTTATTGCTTTTAGTTTATCTGTGGGGTAATTAATAAATGTTCCCACAATTTCTTCATGATTGCCACTGTCTCGGAATGCTGCCATCTGAATCCCAGAAAACCATTGTTTGTTAGGATTTGGATCCTCTACTTTTACTGAAATGTAAAAAGAATTTAAAAAAAATAAAAAAAAATAAGATTAGATTTCTTATTTTGTTTTATTATTTTATAATCAATTAATGGCAGCTACAAATTACAGTCAAATGAAGTGGGTTTCTTGTCTATTGCATGTCCACTTACTGGTTTGTCTTTAAGAATACTTCCATCAACAATGTATAGCAATACCGATGAGAGACTGTAGGCTGCCCTATGCATTTAATGTGTGTCCACACTCTTGTATTTTGCCAGAATCACTATCTGACTGGGTTTTCTTATAGGACTGTCCAAGGGACAGGACGTGTTTTTCTCGCTCTCATCATTTTAGATTTTTTAAGCCCTGTTGCATTGGATATCTGAGGATAATTTTTATATCACTGTGACCGTTGTTCCGTCGGGCTTACTGTGAAATAGTTTTTGTGTGACTTTGTAGATCAATATTCGTTAAAAATGGAATATAGTGTATTATAATAGGTTTTCTGCAACAGAAGCCTCTGTTGCCAACGGGGCACAAATAGGCCCGATTGTGTTTCACCTGGCCCCATGGATTTATAGCATTTTAGACAGTAATTGTCCTGTGGGCGTATACACGGTGGCATACAACCGGACTGGTGAAGCGCTGCCACGCCAACACAGGATGCCGTTAAAAATTTAATTAGGTATTTTCCCCGGGTAGGTGGGACTCGATAGCTGGGGACAGCGGCCCATCTATGAGAAGGATACTCTGAAACTAAACTACCACTGCCCGGTGGTCAGGCTTTGGTTGGTTACGGGCTAAGGAAGCACATCCTAAAAGAAAAGCACGTTGAAGACGGAGACGCCAGGTCGAAAGGCACAGATAGTGTGGGAGAATATTTTCCCACAAACATGACGTCACGCATACCTTCTTGAATGTCAGAAAACCCTAGCAGGAATGAAGACTGTGGTGTTTAATCTTTAACACTTCAGTGAAACCATACCACGGTGAGCCCTACCTTAAAAGTGGCAACTGTACAACGTCACCACTCGCAAAGCTAGAAAAACAGCCTAGATTATAAATCTATCAGAGGGACAAGATTGACGAAGAAGACGTATACGCTCTGAGGATTCTACAATGGAATGCAGAGGGAGTCCGCAAACAAAAAAGCTGCACTCACAAAACAACTTACGGAAGGAAACATTGATATTGCCTGTATACAGGAGACACACCTGTCAGAAAAGCACAGATTCTGTATTAGAAGCTTCCAGTGCTTCAGACAGGACAGAGAAAATGATCCCAAGGGAGGAGTCCTCATCCTAGTAAAAAACAGCATCCCAGCAGCTAGTCTTACAGTGGACACAAAACAGGAGTCTGAGATCATGGGTGTCAGGCTTAACATTGCAGGCAAGGAAATTGTATTATACAATTGTTACTGCCCGCCAAGCAAAGAACTCTCATTATACAACATGAGAATCCCAGATGACAACTGTATCGTTCTAGGAGATTTTAACAGCTGATCTCCAAGCTGGGGATATACACAGCTCAACGAGAGAGGAGAAGAAGTGGAGGACTGGCAGACATATGCCAGACTCCAGCTAATCAACAAACCAGATGACTCCCCATCCTTTTTCTCCAGGAGATGGCTTTCAACCAGCCGCCCAGACTTAACATTTGCCACGTCAGACTTGGCAAGCAACATGCACAAAACGGTGCTCAGCCAACTAGCAGGTAGTGACCACCGACCGATCCTGATTTCTGCTTTAAAGATGAGAGGCCTTCATTCGATGCCGCCCCTTCGTTGGAATTACAAGAAAGCTGACTGGAACAGTTTTGCTAACCTTGCTGATGTATACTCGATAAATGTAAACGGTAAATCAAGTCAGGTTGCTAAATCAGTAAAAGAGTTTACAGAAGCTATATTAAAAGCAGCCAAAGAAACCATACCTCGGGGTTCAAGGAAAGATTACATCCCATTGTGGTCCCAACAAATTCAAGACCTCCACCAAACTCTCTCAGAAGCAAGAGATAGAGTAGAAAGCAACCCAACGGTAGAAAACAACATTGCTTACAAAGCAGCAGAAGCTAAACTAAAAAAAGAAACACTTCAAGCAACTAGGAAGAGCTGGCAAGACAAAACCAAGAGCCTAAGTTTTGAAAAAGATGGGTCCAAACTCTGGAAACTAGTCAAGTGTCTAAATGGAGACGCCCAACAAGCCAATCCAATAGTAATAAATGAGGGCAATGAGATCAGATCTGGAAACGATGCTGCAAATATCCTTTTAAATCAGTTTAAATCTGTTAGTGATATTAATATAGAAAAGTCCAGAGAAGATGAGGTAGTACAAAGAATAAAAGAACTCGAGGAGGCCAGCAAGAGTAAACCAGCAGAGAGCATCATGACAGATAAATTCTCAATGAGTGAACTTAACACAGGACTCAACCAGCTGAAATCCAACCAAGCCCCTGGCCCCGATAAAATCACGAATGATATGTTACTACACATGGGTCTAAGTGCCAAAAAGAAATTATTAAACATCTTTAATGCCAGCTGGATTTTTAGTATAGTTCCTCCAGCCTGGAGGAAGTCTGAAATCTTCGTAATCCTGAAACAAGGAAAGCCGAAGAACAACGCAGACAGCTACAGACCCATCAGCCTCACTAGCTGTCTGTGCAAACTATTTGAAAGATTATTGAACAACCGACTGACCTGGTTCCTAGAGAAAAACTTCAAACTAATGGAGGAACAGGCAGGTTTTCGACGTTGCAGATCAACAGAAGACCAAATTACATTTATTGCTCAACACATTGAAGATGCATTCCAGGAAAAAAAAGCACACTATTGCAGTCTGGGTGGATATGGAAAAGGCCTTCGACAAAGTGTGGAAAAATGGGCTGAAACAAAAGCTACTTGAAAGTGGAATATCCCATCACATGCTTGGGTGGATCGTAAAATATCTTGAAAATCGATCTGCAAGAGTCAAGATACAGGGTTCAAGGAGCAGATCAGTCTCAATGACACATGGAGTTCCACAAGGCGGAGTTCTGTCCCCAATTCTTTTCCTAGTTTACATTAACGACATAAAATCAACCCTCTGTAATGGAGTTCAAGCCGTTATGTATGCCGATGATCTGGCGCTACTGAGTTCAGAGGAGGACACTGAAAAAGCACAGACAAGGCTCCAAGAATCCCTCAGAACTCTAGAGAGGTGGTCCAATAGCTGGTACATGCCTGTAAATGGGGCCAAAACCACACACACCATTTTCAGTCTCTCTACCAAACCCCAGAAAAGTTTCACTTAGATATGGCAGCCAGGCACTGATACATGATGACTCACCGTCATATTTAGGAGTAACCTTTGACTCAAGACTCACATGGAGAAAACAGATAGAAAAGACACAGAGCAAGGGACTCAAGAGAACACAACTGATGAGGAAGTTAGCTGGAACAGACTGGGGGGCAAACCTCAATGTCCTTAAGAGGACCTATACAGGCTATGTGAGGCCAACACTAGAATATGGAATAGCTGCTTGGGGCACAGCAGCTAAATCAAATTTTCAGAAAGTCTCAAAGATCCAAAACCATGCTCTCCGTATTATGACAGGGGCAATGTGCTCCACGCCCATATCAGATATGGAAACAATTACTGGTCTCCATAATCTGGAAGATAGGAGAGACACAAAGATCCTCACCCAGCTCTCCAAATACCACCACTTTCAAGAACAACCCATGTACAGCCGACTGCAGAAACCCCAGAAGGCTAGACTAAAGAGAACTTGCTTTATTAAGAACGCAAATGCCAAGCTCGCTGTCCTTAAACTCCCTCCCATAATACCAAATGTTCCACTTAAACCTTACAACGACTGCCCCGCTTGGCTTAGGGATAGCCTACCAACAGTCAGAACCACTGTAACAGGGGTCTCCTCCAAATCATCAATGAGCAGCACTGATATGAAATCAACTACAGAACGAGAGATCAATAGACTTTACCCACACCAGAGTTGGATTCGAGTGTATTAAGATGGTTCAGCCTAGAGAGAAGTAAGAGACGGAGGAGGAGGAATATACATAGAATGCCCAAATGGTTTTAAAATCAACCAGGCTGTACCAACAGGTTCATATTCCTCCAATTACAGAGCAGAGGCAGAAGCACTTCTAGCCGCATGTTCTTTCCTGAATGGACAACAGCACAGCAAATATAGCAGAGTGGTCTTTCTGACTGATGCTATGTCAGTTCTACAAGCAATTGTTAACCCAAAAGACACTCAGTTTGTAGACTTGACGCAACAGCTTATTTACTTAGGCTCTTCAGTAGAACAATCTGTTCTGCAGTGGATTCCAGGTCACTGTGGCTTGGAAGGCAATGAAATAGCAGACAGATTGGCCAGAAGCGGCAGTGACATGGTACAACCAAATAGCGACTTAACCCACCAAGAGATGAAAACACTAATACAATCTAGTATCCAAGAAAGGTGGGATACCCACAACAGATGTTTCTCGCCCAAGACTCACTTGCATCGCCTCTCTCTAACCCACAACAGATTTTTCTCCCAAGACTCACTTCATCGCCTCTCTAGAGAGGGACAGTCTATTATATTCAGACTAAGGACAGGGCACAACAGATTTCGTCAACATATGTTCAAATTTTTCGGTGTAGGAAATACGGAGACGTGTCCCTGCAGCGTGGCACCCGAAAATGCTGAGCATGTGCTCCAACACTGTCAACTGTATGCTGACAACAGAGACGCAATCTGGCCTGTTCCAACCACAATGAAGACAAAACTGTATGGTACACGAGAGGATATGGATTGCACGATAGCTTTCATAAAGGCTACCGGCCTCCTGATATAAGTTTTCTGACAGAAGGATCGAAGAAGAAGAAGAAGACTATATGACTTTTCATATGGTATTTTGTGTGATTTTCACTGGCACAAGAGCAGAGCACTCAAAGAGTGACCCGTTTGGAACCCTGACTAATAGCTAGTGTTAGCCCAAACAAGGCAGGCTAAGCATCTGTCATTTTACAGAATGGGCAGCACAAGATCTCTACAAATCTGTCTGTGCTTTTTGCTATGGAGAGAAAGAACTTCATGCCTGTCCTTAACTGGTCTTGGCCATAAATTGAAAGGCAACAGCTATAGGTTATAAGACCTTAGCAACTTATGTAGATGAGGGCTTCAATGGCTGCTTCTGGGGGTTTGAGACTTTCAAATGTCACCACATTGTCTTGACCAGATAATGATCACTTTACTTACTTGACTATATCAGCCCCACAAGGCTCTAGTTAATGTCCAAGGAGTTAAGAATGGCGACACAAAACTCATAGGTATACTATTTCTAGAATGGCCAAAAAAATATGTTTTTAGAATTCCCTCACTAAAGATATGATGAAATCATAGGGGATAATACTTGATTGTATGGATATTCAAACCCAAGACCATATGATCACCAGGCAAGTGCACTTAGCTTTCTCTCCCTGACTTCTAGAGTTCCCTCACTAAAGACACAAGATGTACAAATTTAAGCAACCTGATGATGAGGAAATCATAGGGGATAATTCTTGCTTGTATGGATATATTCAAACCCAGGACCATTTGATCATCAGGCAAGTGCACTTAGCTTTCTCTCCTTGACTCCTTTAACTTAACCCTGCTTCCTCTCACTTTTAGACTGCACAGTATGTGATAGTAGGGCTAGCAATCTTATCATGTAAATTGCTACTGTAACAAAGCAAGGACACAATCTGAGAAAACATATTACCAATATAATTGGAATATTCTTGTACTAGAATACATGAGGTCAAAGGAAAAAAGGCTCAAAGAACCATTTCCAAGATGCTAATCCAACTGGAGGAAGTCAAAAATACCCAGTTATATTGGGGAACCCTACCTGTCCAGTTGGATGGAGGCTGGTATGTGGCTGCTCAAACTATAACTGAATATTTCCACTCCTGGTGTGTTTGATACTAATATCACAAATATATTTCTGATGCAGCTGACATTTACTACTTACTGACTATCTCCTCTCCTGGTGCAAAAACTGGAGCGGAAAAGGTGATCCCAATGGGGCATGGTGTTGTCTGTGTCCCCTGATTATTGTGTTTCGGGTACCTGGTAAAACATGTACTCCATGGAGCTCCATTTGGATAGCCTTCAACTGCAAATATTAAAATGTTCTTTTTTACTTTTTTTTTAAGAGTTCAGTATAACAAATAACTGTATACCAAACTCACTCTATATATGTTAGGTTAGTTTTGTATCCTTTACAGGACGTTGCAGAACCAACCTCAACAGCCCCCGGTTGTTGTGTGGTTTTTCTAGGCAAATTTGTGTCCAGTAGTTTGCCATTGCCTTCTGGACGGTCAGCTTTCTTGATAACACTGTTGAAACCAACACAAGGCACATGGGCCGCAGCTGGAATCGAACCCGGCATAACGAAGCGTTCATATCGATTTAGCCACAGAGCCGACCTCTATATATGTACACACTTTAAAATAATTAAACAAAGCAAACACATATTTTATTACAGTGGGACAATTAGTACCATCTGATGAATGGATTTCTAAGACATTAATCTTGCAGAAGTTGATGAGATGTGATTTGTGTTTGAAGAATAATAAGTGTAACATGAACCAGCAAAAACATAGTGAATAGGTTCACAAACAGTACTGATTATCCATATCAGCAAAGTAATCCATTTATGTGGCACTTTAGAGAAGGGGATAAAACATAGTATACTATGACAATAGGAAAGAGTTTAAGAGGTGTAGACAAAGAAAAAGAGAGGATTATAGACAGATGGCGTTGTGATCTAGAATAGTATGTGTATAAAAGTAACTGACAGTTAATGAGATAAAGGGTTGTGGTAGACAAGGCATATACCAAAAGAGGAGAGTGATGTAGAGCAAGAGGTAGACCAAGAACGATATGGGAAAATAACATAATAGAAACTCTACAGCACCACGATGTGTATGTGGTCGAAGCAGCCAGAAGAGCACGAGCAGGACCTTATATCTCACTAGACACCCGAAACGGTAAAAGAGGATGTAAAGAAGAAGAAGAAGAAGAAGAAGACATCCTTAACAGAACGTTATGGACTATATGAAGAAAATACTGTTGATTGCTCGCTATGATGATTGTCATTACATGAGGCAGATGGCTGGCGATACACAGGATTACCCATGTCACATGGTATGGACTATAAAGAACCCTTTTCCACGCTGTTAGGCGTATAGTGCATATAAGGCTGGACCTATATTTTTAAAGACCTATCAAGATCGGTGATGTGGTCAGCATCACGCCAGATGCCTCTACTTTCCAGGATTGCACCGGTACCCACTCAAAATTGGGTCAACCTGGGAGCGATGGACATTTTTGAAAAAAGTCCGGCTCCGCCATGGAGCGAACCCACGACCTTCCGATCCATGGCGAGATTCTAGCCGCTCCACCATGGGGACTCTCATGGACTATAAGACTAATTCGAAAACCTTCATAATGCCTCACTGTTTTCTTCTGACGTGACTTTGATGATATTTTCTTGTAGTGAAATGGTTACGTTGATATCTTGAAGTAATATAATGTTCTTAAAGAAAACTGCAGTGCACAATGACTTATACGAATGCTATTTAGACACTATATGATAAAATAACGACAGTTTCCAACGCGTTTTTGAGACTCACTAGGGACGTTCTTATGGTAATGATTTCAATTAATTTGAAAGGAAATTGAAAATTTCACAACACCGACTTTCAAAAACCTCTAAAAATACAAGTTTTAGTATTATTCGTTAAGTTATCTTGTTACAGTCAACTAAGTTGTAAACTGAACATTTCTATTTGTGCTCAATCATTTAATGCAGCAGCCACCCAAACAGCAGCAACACTAGAGTATAAAAAAAATCCATACTGGTTGTTCAAATGAGAGATAGGTTATGTTTCCTAACGGTCACAGCAAATCCTAAACTGTACATCACAGACTGACTGATCCTAGAGTGACTTATAAAAAGAGTGACTGATCACAGAGTGACTGATCTCAGAGTGACTGATCACAGAGTGACTGACTGACCTTCAACCCTTCCAGGACCGCACAAGCGCTAAACACCTGGTGACATAAAATGCCACCAATCGAGCGAAAATCGCTGGTGCACAAGTCAAAGAAACACTGTTCAACTGTTAGGTTATATTAGCCCCCCCCCCCCCCCCACAGACAGCCGAGAAACGCCACCAATTCGGACGAAAATCGTTGGTGCGTAGGTCAAAGAAATCCCAATCAACTGTTAAGTTTAGTCCCATGTAGAGGTGAAGGTTCATGCATTATACTTCACATAGAATTTGCTGGGAAATTGATAACATCAAAAGACAGGATTTGTCGTTGTCGTATGAATCATCTACTCCTACCTCATCCTTCAGAGCCCCGAGAACGCTGGACCGGTCTATTGCTTTGCCTGAGCCTAGGGTTGTGCCACAAGCCAGTCTACTTGTGAATTCCCTCTTACCCCTGAATTTCCATGTTAAAATAACGAAGATTATATGTGTGTGTTTGTTTGTGTATAATAGAAAACGGAACGGGGAAACGCTATAATATTGGGAATGAAAAAGAAATGAAGTAATGAATTCTAAGATGTTTTGTACCGAAAGGGTTACAGTGAAACAGTTACCATAAATATACTCGATAATCTCAGTTTGTAGACTAGGATTTAAAAAAAAATTTGTTTTATACTGTTTAAAAATTATAATGCTGCTTTTTCACAGCTAAACAGACGTACGAATTGTTTATGAAAACACAAACTGCAACCATTGTCAAGTCCGTCTGTTTCAACAATGATACATTTCATCTGTTCGGATGAGTCACCTGTTACACAACCTCATGTTGCATCATGGGTGCTGTAACATGTGAGAACAGTAGCTCCTTGATGTATGGAAGTTGTCTTTTTGAATATTTGTTTATAAGTTCATAGTATACCACCACTCCCCCCCCCCTCACCCAAAAAACACACACCCATATATATATAATGTTCAATGCATGTAATTACATGCAATGCGGCACGAACACCCACGATGGTTTCCGATAGAAGGCGAATTTTCTCACGACCGCGCTAAATCGCAAATTGTTGCAACAGAACAACCCATGACCAATGAAGCAGTACAGATTGTCAAAGCATTCTTTAGCTAGCTAAGGAACTCGATGTGTTAATTGTGACAATTCAGAAGGTTGTTCGTAAGAAACTGTAATATCGGAAGGTGTGTTTCACAGCTGGTAGCACCGATGTTGTCCCACTACCAAAAGGAGGAACGCATGGGAGGATTTTTGAACCACTTGCTGCTTTACATGATGCATTTCTTTTCCGCATATTGACAGGCCATGAATCACAGTTTCACAACTTTGAGTCGAGCCAGCAAAAGAAAGCGCATGCAGTTAAAGTATACTGGATCATATCGCCATCGGTTGGCAGACTTTTAAGATCCAGGTGTCAACACAAATCCTACCCGTCGTTTGGAAATACTATATACGCTGCATAATGTTATCAACAATAAATGCTTTGACGTGCTTTCCATCGTATGATTTTGTTGCACAATGCTTTTGCACATATTGCACGGATTCTGCAAGAAGTGATAGCACAGAAGAAATGTAAAATCCTGCAGTGTAAAACCTTTACTCCTGTTCTGCCACCACGTGATTTTAATCACTCGGACATCTAAAGAAAGGCTTTCAAGAGGCAACGCAGGCGTAATGAAGGCGGTAAATTTGTGTTTATTTGTTTTTGCGGCGGGCATTCGCCACCTATCTAAGCAATAACATACTACTGTAACTTTTCTAGACCCACCCATGGTGATAATGTATTCAAAATGAATGCTTTGCTGAATTCTGCAACACCTCTTGATGTTTATTTCAAGGTTTCATAATAAAGCGACTGGGTTTAAATTAACGCTTGTAGTGTATGTGTGTTTGTGTGTGTGTGTGTGTGTGTGTGTGAAATTTCTTTTTTAAACACGGCTTAGCCCCTAGCACCCCTTTTTTAAATTTTTGTAAAGCTACTGAGGACCCCTATTTGCCTTCTCTTTCCCCAGGCCCATAAATGTCTTTATGTCAGCGCCCCTATGTTCAGCATCCCAATGTTGCACACAACTAGCTATTCCATATCAGACGCGCGTTAATCTCTTAGCGTGAAAACACTAAACATGGACACGTATTTACTTCATTTTAGGGCGGTCTACTGGTTGATCTGCGTGGCTAGTGCATTCGTCACGAACTGTGCAAGTCAAGATTTTATCCGTGTCTCCGAAACAAACAACTTTCCATTTCATTAAAGAGGCAGTGGTTAAGAGAAAACATATTTAACGAAAACATTGATGTTGAAAACAAAAAATGACGTACATTTAAAAGGCACAAGAGATCATGAGAAGAAAATAGTCATCGGCACACAAAATCACCTGACTACTTCTAAGTAAATGATACCATGTCTGTGTCTGAGAGAATACAAGACTAGACTTCTTTTCTCTTGTCTGTCTGTCTGTCTGTCTGTCTGTCGGTCGGTCGGTCGGTCGGTCGGTCGGTCGGTCGGTCGGTCGGTCGGTCGGTCGGTCGGTCGGTCGGTCGGTGGGTCGGTATGGGTCGGTCGGTGTCGGTCGGTCGGTCGGTGTCGGGTCGGTCGGTCGGTCGTGTCGGTGTATGTCGGTATGTCGGTCGGTATCGGTCGGTCGTCGGTGTCGGTCGGTCGGTCGGTCGGTGTCGGTCGGTGTCGGTCGGTCGGTCGGTCGGTCGGTCGGTCGGTCGGTCGGTCGGTCGGTCTGTCTGTCTGTCTGTCTGTCTGTCTGTCTGTCTGTCTGTCTGTCTGTCTGTCTGTCTGTCTGTCTGTCTGTCTGTCTGTCTGTCTGTCTGTACGTATGTACGTACGCATATAACTGAGTATGCATATTATTGAGTGTGTTTGTGTATGTATGAGCATGTAATAGTATGTGTACATGCGTGTGTTTGAGTGCGTGTGATTGTGTATACTTGATGTGTATATGCATTATTTCATAATGTATATTCTTATATACACACTAGATGCATTATTAATACAATGCAATGGTGCTCCGAAAGATGATTGCTTAGAAGGGCCGAATGTAAGACGGGCTTGCTTGCCAAATTTGTACCCTTTGAAAATAAAGTTTGTTCGTTCGTTCGTTCGTTTTTCGTTTCTCCTCCTCTTCCTCCTCTTCCCCCCACCTTTCTTCTTTTGCGCTCCCCCTAACACTGTTATTTACCACTAATCTGCATATCTGCGCCACTGTGAAGAAAATTGGGGGAAGGGGATTGGGGGGGGGGGGCGGAGTGGAGGAATGGGAGAAAGCCAACATTTGATCCGAAACTCAGTTGCTCATTTAAAACGGCCACCCTGACCGCTTACGATAAATGGTTCAACGATGATAATGATGCTTGTGGTCGCAATACAGAACACTGAAAGAGCAAAGGAACACGCCCCCCCCTCCCCCCCCCCCCCCCCCCCCCCCCCCCAAAAAAAAAATGGCTTGCATTGTATAGGAAGTAAAATGCTTAATAAATTTTGAAACAAAAAAAGTATACATAAAAGATGTATCAAAAAGACTGTGAGACATGCAAACAGAAGAAGAAAAAAAGAACAGGCAGACAGAATCAATGACAATCAATAAAATAGGTGAACAAGTCCTATGATTTCGATATTCAAGTAATAAGAACAACATGAATGTCACAGACATGCACGGTTTTCCTATAAAGTTGCTATTGATTCAACGTAAAGGAAACATAAATGGGAGTAGCTTGACAGGAACACAAGAAAACAATAACAGTTAATTTTAAGTCAGCCCAGTAGGCAACGACCTTTAAAACCTCCAGATAAAATTCGTAATTCCATGTGTGGGTTCCATTATTGGCAACTACTCGTAATTTGGGGCTTGCTAAAAGTAGAAGTGTTGGGCTAAAAGGCAGAGATATCGCTGTTGAGCTGTAAACCGCACATAATATGTCAACCAACTCACTGAGAGGCAAACGCTTCTCAGGCAAACGCCCCCCCCCCCCATAAAAAAAAAAAAATATTGCGTGTTGTGGTATGCTGTCTGCTGATATCCACGTTAACTGGCCACCTTAACTGGCCAGACAATTTACCCGTTGTCTTCTAATGGAATTTAGAGCTGCAGCTACCCCATTTTCATTCGAATTTCATCGATTCTCTTCTTGCTTTTTTGAGAGCCCTTCACATGAATCACATTTCAGTTGTAATTTTTCTTTTCTCTTTTTCTATCATTGTCCCTGGTCTGGCATTGATAACATAGGGTTGGCAAGAACATTGTGTCTTAGAGTGCTCTTTGGTTTCTCGTAGAACTGTACCGAATATTCGCTTCGCATTCGCTTCAGTGCCGAATAGAGGACCTATTGACTATTCGGTATAGCCCTAGTTCCTATTAATACATGCTTGTTTCTTAGTATGAATTTGCCTAATGAGTTGGTTTGTTTTGTTACATCTGTCATGAACCACATCTTTTGTTTTGCTAGCTGATGATATTATGCTTCCTAAGAGTTTGAGATTTTTGGTTTGTTTCAGAGGAAAAAATCCTGTAAGCTGAATAATAATTGTTTTGTCTGATTCCGCTATGGTCATGACCTCTGTTTTGTTGGCGCTAATTAACATGCTACTCTTCTTGTTCAGCATTCCGAGCCCTTGAGGTTCATTGCAGCAGATATCACCAGCCTCCATTCATCTTTCTGGTTGACCTTCTCTTTCCAGTTGGTGACAGCAAGTGTTTGCAGGTCTCTCTCTCTCCATAGTCTTCTTGGTCTACCTCATGGTCTACGACCATTCATCTCTTTTGTGTATACAGTTTTTACTTCTCTGTCATCTGACATTCTTGCAATATGCCCCAACACATTTCAGTCTATTAGCTCTCATGATGCCAGTGATCCGTGGTGATTTGAACAGATTATTAATTTCGTTTACACGATACGCTATTTGCAAATGTGGTTTTATATAATTTTTTAGTCTTGCAGTTCAGATTCTGAAGGAGCGATTATGGCTTGGGCGTCCACAAATAGTAGTTCTTTAAAAAAAAACTGTTTGGCTTTGGTTCTTCTCCTTGTCCTTGTTTGGTTGCTTTCCTTACAGATGTTATCACTGTAAATTATGAAGATAATGGGAGACAGAACACAACCCTGCCTTACTGCTGATTTTATCGTGAACGGTTCTGAGTGTATTCCTTTTGTTCTAACAGTGCATACACTATTGTTATACAATCTTTTACATGTGCTTATTAAATGCATGTTCACACCAAACGTTTTACAAGGTTCCCCATAGTTTGTTCTTATCTACTCTGTCAAATGCTTTTTTCTTGATCAATAAAGGCCAAATAGAGTGTTTCGTTAAATTCAATTGATGTGTTCGTAAAACTCATATTCTGGAACAAGATTAAAGTCCAAGAGTGGAAGAACAACCATAACTTTCTCAGCCTGTTAACCTAGGAAGAAGAATAAGAAGAAGAAGAAGACGAAGAAAAAGAATAATAATAATAATAATAATAATAATAATAATAATAATAATAATAATAATAATAATAATAATAAGAAGAAGAAGAAGAAGAAAAAGAAGAAGAAGAAAAAGAAGAACAAGAATAAGAAGAACAAGAAGAAGACGAAGAAGAAGAAGAAGAAGAAGAAGAAGAAGAAGAAGAAGAAGAAGAAGAAGAAGAAGAAGAAGAAGAAGAAGAAGAAGAAAAAGAAGAATGAAGAAGAAGATTTAATTTACAGTTTAATAGACATTCTGGCTCCCACCCATTCTTTAGTAAAGAAACGAAGTTCGGAAAAAAGCTGGTGAGCCCATCTCAAAATTCTATAAAGTTGATATGAAACTAAACCTATAAAATCGCATCTGTACTGTATTATCTGCTATACGATTCCCCCAGAGGAGGTACAAGACAACTTAAAAAAACAAAATTCAAAAATGCCAAGCCTTGTGTTCAACACACTAATCTAGAACACACTTACCTCGGTAGATCCAGCTCAGAATTCCTAGTGCCAGTAAAAACACAGCTAGTCTCGGCATCGGTGGCTGTGGTGTGTGTGCCTGACACGTTGTTGGGAAGCTGTATGTTTTCTATTTTGTGCGTGGCTGGTAGTGTAAGAGCCTGACGGTAGTACGAATTGGGAATGAGACAGGAAAACACGCACACAGTTACAGAGGTAGGAAACAGACACTGTGACATACAGCCGGCCAGACAGACAGGCCAACACACAGACATAGAGAGAGAGAGAGAGAGAGAGAGAGAGAGAGAGAGAGAGAGAGTGAGAGAGAGAGAGAGACTTATAGATAGATAGACAGACAGACTTATAGTTAGATAGACAGAAAGATCTATAGACAGACCTATAGACAAACTGACATACAGACGATCAGACATACAGATAGACAAAGAGATAGATAGACACAGATACATATATAGACAGACTGACAGGAAGACGCACAGACATACAGATAGAAAAAAAAAGACAGACAAACAGACAGACAAATAAGGCATATTGTGCTAGATTTATATTTTCACAGACTAATCGGCACTTGACAGGCGATGTAGTCAACATTACACCGTCTGCTTGCATTCCTAAGAACTAGGGAATACAAAGGCATGTTTGTGACCAAAACATTATTTTTTTTTCTTTCAGTTAGCTCGTTACCATTATTTTTATTTTTTTCTAATTCGCATTCCTTGCGAGGACGTTATCTTAAAACGAACGTTGATGAGAGAGGTCATATGTGTTGTACTAGATTCCATGATACTGAACTGATAGCACAGGTTACAATGGAATGGAGGAATAGACTGGATCCCTATTTGAAACATAGTGGCATAACAGGACATTATATAATGTCATCGCCTTGCAATTTTTCGTATTTTCAAGCCCCACCCTGCCTCTTGCCTCTTGCCAGGGGCCGCAATATAGCCCGGCCATTAATATGGTCTAATGGCTGAACGCGGTTTTCGGGACCTGTCCACGGGTGATCCTCATCCGCATGGTGGCACTTTGTGTCGCCGGGTGTTTGTCGCTTGTGTGATGCCCTGGTTGGTTGCAACTACCTACCTACATACTTTAGCTTAATCAGTCGTCCCCTCGTCAGATGGAATTTTTTCTTACTCTGAAGCCCTGCCTTTGATATAGCCGGGGCATAGATATGGCCTAACGGCTGAAAGGGGTTTCTGGGACCTGTCCACGGGTTATCCTCATCTGCATGGTGACACGTTGTGTTATTGGGTGTTTATCGCTTGTGTGATGTCCTGGAGTTGAACAACCACCTATCTATCTACTTTAGCATTCAAAAGCACATTTCTGAAACATTTAATCACATAATGTGGTATACAAACGGATGCAAGTTTTCAGCTAGCCACTATCAACAGACACCGGAAATAGTAAATAAATCATATTTCGTGCGGCCCAGATGGAAAAAGAATTGACAGAACATTAGCAGTTGCTATGGTATGTACTAGACAGACGCTCGCCGGCACCTTGGCTCCTAGGTAAACCCAGCCTTTAATGGGTACCAGGCAAAGACATGGAAAGTAAAGGCATCCGCTGCGATGTTGATCACACTACCTAACAAGTGCTGATTGGCTATAAAATGTAGGTCTAGCTAGAAGGCGAGGAAAATGGTCATTTACTTTGTTTTACTCTAAAATTTACACCATCTGTTTCAGTATCATCATCATCAGTATCATCAACATTATCATTATTTCTAGGGCTGTACAGAATAGTGATTTTCACTATTCGGCCGAATACGAATAGCGGGACCAACTATTCGGCCGAATACGAATACGAATAGTTTATCATCATGTGCCTTGTCGACGGGCGTGGGCGATCATGCCTCTCCATCATCCACGATCTCCTGCAGAATGTATCAATCAGTTCCTGTGCCGACACACCTCCATGCCATGCAACAAGACTGTCAAGAATCTTCTCTCGTTGTCTTCCTCTATCCCTCTTTCCACAGATCTTTCCATTGGTTACAACATGTTCCATTTTTTCTCTTCTCATAACATGATCGAAAAATGATGACTGTCTCCTTCTGATGTCTGTGATTAGTTGTCTTCGGGCTCCCACCTCTTTCAAAACCTCTTGGTTGCTTTTTTTTTTTTTTTTTTGACTGTCTACGGTATTTTAACCATTGTTCTGTAAAACCACATCTCTGAGGCCTCAAGAAATTGTTTGGCCTGCCTACCGATTATCCAGGATTCACAGCCATATGTTAAAACTGAATGTATGTAGCAAGCAAGAATTCCTTTTCTAACCTTCAATGACAAAGATATATTACATAAGATGTTCTTCATTTTGTAAAATGCAGTTTTTGCCTGTCCTATTCTGTTTCTTATCTCAGTTATGCATCTTCTATCTGATGTTATCCATGAGCCCAGATACTTAAATTTCTGTGCTGTCCCAGAACAAAACCATTGACTTTTATTAAACATTTAGGAATAATTCTTTATTTCATACCACCATTACTTCTGTCTTCCCACTATTGAAACTGAGGCGCATTCTTCCACTTTTGAATAGTGTGTAGTGTATAAAATAGATCTAAAAAAACATTTATAATGTCAAATGTACGCTAAAATGTTACTTCACAAAATGTAGTACAGAATAGTAAACATAAACATTTTATGTTTTGCATCCTTTAATCAGTCAGTCTGTGGTATCTAATACATAGGAATGAAAGTATTCATAGTTTTATAAAAAGTAACCAAACTTGTAAATTGTCACTAACACCTTAGTCAATGCATGAAAGCGGCATTAGCTTTCAACAAAACCAATAGTTCCATGTTGTCAGCATTAGGACATATTGTCGTCTCACTGAATGTTATTTCCAGCTGTACTGAACAGACGTTCACTTGGTACGCTCGTAGGTGGTGCACAAAGATAACGCTTGACAGTAAGAACGAAAGTGGGAAATCTTTACATGTTCACTTTCCACCAGTCCAGTGGGCCAGTGTCTTTTGGGATACACGGCTCTGACAGGCAGTTATTCACTTCTGTTTCAATGGTAACTCGAATGTCGCTATTCTGTACCTTCTGTACCTATTGTGTTAATGAAAAGAGTTATTTCAGTCCATCGCAATGTATGCAGAAACGGGTGTAAGATAACCACTATTCGTATTCGGCCCGACCGCAACTATTCGGCCGAATACCGAATAGTTATTAGATCTACTATTCGGCCCCGAAGCGAATACGAAGCAAATATTCGGTACAGCCCTAATTATTTCATCATCATCATCATCATCATCAGTATCATCGACATCATCATTTTCTCATCATCATCATTATCATTAAATCATCATTATCTTATCATCATCATCATTAACGTCCACTTTAGTTCTGAGCGTCGCTGAATAGCACCAAACTGGCCATTACCAAACTGTGTACAATGTCCATAATCTTGTCAGTTCATTCTCCTCTTATGCGCCCTCTCGCTTTTCATCAGAAGATTTTATGCGCAGTGCCTGTTTGATGGTTGCTGTGGGTGAACTTTTCGAGATAACCAAACTATTTCACTAAAAAAAAAAAGCAACTGATGCCAGGTTTTGTTCCTACAACAAACTTCCTAGTGTCTTTATGTCTCATTATGTATGGGATGATTAACTTGACGACTTGAACGTGTATGCTGTGAGTGAGTTGATTACATAATAATCTGTTTGAATACAACAACAAGCACTAAAATAGTACTACTACTACGAAAAAAAAAAAGACTAAGTCATTGATACCTTCACATTAAAAGAAATAGTATTTGTAATTTCAGAAAATGACACATTTTATCCTAGTTGTAAACGTAGCAATACCGTTTTTACCGTTTGCAACGATCGTTAAGAAGTTACTTGTGACTTTTAATTCCGCTTGCAAAGACGGGAGAAAGATGGCGAGGGGTGTGTTTACATGTATAATATTAAAAACTAGCTAGCAAGCGGTGGAGCTGCGCGCACACGCGGCAGTGTTAATGAAACGCAGCTGCTGCTACATAACAGGGTATTTACCAGAAATCTCTGACTCTGCTTAACTCTCTGTCTCCAACACTTGTTCACTTTTTAATCCCAAACAGTGGGTATCAGTTTCTGAGTCACTGGATTAAATAATGCGCCCCAAAAGGAGATGGAGACAGTCAGAACATAGCAGGGTCAAATACGAGATGGTTTTAAATTAATACCTTAAAAGTTTGATTAAAATTACAATTGCCCTTCCATTGTCTTGTAACTCAATATTGTTGTTAAGAATGTCAAGAGTGTTAAGCATATGATGTCAAAGAAACAGTTAAAAATAGGCACCACACTTCTATCATACGCCAAAAAGGAGCAGCGTTCTATTATCCGTTTAAAAAAAATATCCGCGAAGGGGCGAAACCTATTGATATTTATCGGTAAATGAAAGGGGTGCACCCCTATCAATGTATATTATTGCAAAAACAATCGATTTTGTTTGAATGATCTGATTAATCAATCTCTCATTATTTCCTCATTCTCTCATTATTATATTAGAACCAGTGAAACAAAAATATACACAATCCTTTAATTTTAATTCATAACATTTTAATTAAGATAATTCAATTTATAGAACAGATTACATTGATAAAACTACAGAATTGATTAAAATTAATTTTATTTTAGTGAAGATTATTAAAAAATTTCAACAGAACACAAATAAGTAAAAGAATTTGTAGAATTCACAAAAAATAATTTGATTCCACAATTTAAAACAATTAAATTTTTGAAACCACAGTGGTGAAGATTAACATCAAACAAACTGCATTGAAGATAACCACAGAACTGAGTCTAATTAATTTTTTCATTTAATCCAAAATCGTATAGATATAAAGCAAATCAAAGCAAAGAAGTACAGTATGTTGCCCTTGAAGATTAATTTATTGTTACAAACACATCCTGTCATCTTGTCGGGGAGTCAGTACAAAGTTGCCTGTCATCTTGTCAGGGAGTCAGTACACATGTCACATATCGCTCCTGTCGCGTGCCTGATTTAAGGAGTTCTCCTTAAGAACCAACAGCACTGAAATAATTATGTTGA